TAGACTATTTTCACTTCGAATTAGTTAAGTTATTTTAGCCCGGATCTTAGCTATAGAATTTATCTACGCATACATTGATAGGAGAAATAAAAATACAAAAAAAAATATAATTAATGGCTTCAATATGTTGCACACCATACAACACTTTTTTAAACAAATACTTTGTGCTTAAGTCCCCTAAACTTTGACCACCGCATTGTTTATATATTTTTAAGGCATTTGTTTAATAGTCACGCACCAAAAAAATGGCATCGATTTTCAGCCAGAAGACCGTTTATTTTGTGGCTCCCACACGAACGGCGAAAGTGAAAGCAAATCGATTTTCACACAGCCAGCCGGCCATAGCCCGGCCCTTCAAGGTGTGTCCTGTTTTCTGGTTGGGGGAGGAGGTGAGGTAAGCGTGACCAGGCGAATTACTTAATTAACGCACTTCACTTGGTCCTCGTCTCTGTCTCCGTCTTCGACTGCGTCTTCGTCACTTTCAGTCACTTTCTCCGTCACACTCGGTGAGTAATCTGCAGTGGAAGGAAGACCTCGACCTTGTTGTCCGCAGACGGACCGGGATTGTCTGTAAATGTCATTGGATTTGGCATTTCGTTGAGCAATTGACCTCGTGACCTCTCCGAAGTGGCCAACCAATTTAAAATGTAGAAAAAAAATGTAGTAAAATCTAGAAAATCAATATAATTCGTGATACTCTCTAAGCCCTGTGATTAGCCCTGTCAGCAACAGAATCTTCCAAGTATGTCGAGTGGCTTGGTATTGGTGGCCTATATTGACAGGCCTCCTCCATTAGTGTGATCAAATATGCAGACATTGCAAATTAGATGAATTTTTTATGTGCCCAACAAATATGTGCCATAAAGAGTGTCAACATGTCCCATACACACACACACACACACACACACACACACTCACGTATTGTTTTGACAGGAAAACAGGGAAAAACGAGCAACAACAAATAAAGAGACCAAAGTTTTTCCTGCCATAATCTTGATCTACTTTTCATGTACCGTGCAACGAGCTCTTTGGTTTATTATTTATTGGCTTTTCGATAAGCCAAATTGCCGAGTGAGCATCGCATCGCGTCTGTTTTTTCATTCTTACATTCTTTATGACTTTATAATGCCCGCTCAGAGCGCCGAGTCGGTCGCATAAATCTTGTAATTATAGTTTGGGTTGAGTTTTCTGGCCCCCGATTTGTTTGTGGCTCCTTCGAGTGCCGTAAAACAATTACCCGAACTTTCTTGAAATTTTCAAATTGGATTTCCTATTGACAAAGGTTTGGCAGGAAAGGGCAAACAGGACACAAGCCAACCAACACAGACAAGCCCAGGCACAATCACAGCCACTGTTTACTGTTTACTGTTGACTGTCTATGATTTTGCGTTTTGAAACATTTTGTTGGCCCCAGCCCTGGGACAATTGTCGCATTTCAGTCAACAAATTTACTTTTCCATTCAATATTGTTGTTTGACAAACATTTTCGGTCGAGTGGCGCACAGGGCAGGGCCACGAGCGAGAGGACATACTCGCAACATACATTACCCATACGCCCAGTGGCACAAAATTAGCAAAATATGAACAGATTTCTTGCAATACAATGAGGCATACGTGTGGAAATATTGCTTAATTGTTTACTTAATTAAATTACTAAAATTTGATCACCTCAGCATTAGGCATTTATAAGTCCAGAAAAGGGTTTTAAACCAATCAAAATGATAATTGGAACTCCTTTCTAGTTACTTACAAATGTTTTGCTAATATGATTATGGCTGCCTAAAAGTGAATATATAATAGAATATAAATCAATACGAGTGCAGGTACTCACATTAAGTCTGCAGTTGTTTCATAGACTGTGCCATTGTGCCCCGTGCCACAAGAGGCCGTTTTCAATTTGCCGCATTCATTGTGGGTGAATTGTGGTAATTATCATTGTGTTACCGGGTTCGTTCGTTGGTTGGTTTTGTTGTTTGGTTTGGTTTGGTTTGGTTTGGTCTGCTGAAAGCTTTTCACTTGCCCCGGCTCTGGCACGCGTACAATTGAAAACTGAATTTCCAATGGATATGAAGGGGAAATATTAACTTTGCACACACACGCACAACACCTCACGAATTTTCCTCACTATTGGAAAATATTTTGCGTGAAAATGTAGCAGCTACTGCTATTGGATAGATACATGACAATATAGCGTATACGTTTTTAGCTAGCTGATGGATTATTTTCGATACGTGCTGCAAGTAGACAAAAAAAGGAAATATTGTATTAGCTGGCAGCATTTCTTATGGTATATTATATTTACTGCTAGCTTATTCCAGTCACATACACGTACCCTTTACCTAATTTCCCGAAAAAGCAATTCCACGACCTTGCCAAAAGCATTTATACCCATTATCCCTCATCTAATTTGTTGTAAATGCACGCGTGAGCTCCGCTAACCCCAAAGAGGAACGCCCATCAAACAATTTGATTGCACAATGGCTAGACATGGACATAGCCATAGCCATAGCCTCCCAAACAGCAACAATTTGACAGGATCCACTCACTATATACACACACACATACAACAGGCAATGTGTATGAGTTTGGTTAGATAAATATATAGAGAGTAATAAAGGGTTTAGTTACGCAGACAAAAGCATGAACACGAAAAAGGATTCGTGCTGCACAGTGACACAAGCGATTCAAATTCAGGGCAGAGATATCTTACTTTATGGGATTGAATTATAAATCTTTTTAAGACTAATAGCGCTTCAATATTATTAATAGAAAGCCAACTTCCTGGTCAACAATTCCATTAAAATCTTTTCCAAATAATAATGTTATCCATGTGGACACTGTGCTTTCTTTGAACTCTTTTTCAACATTTTTCCTTTTATTTCTGTTGTTGTTTGTCTGTGTGGAAACAGCTGTGGTATCGACTGTCGGCCATTCGCCATCGAACGCGAGGTCTTGAGTTTGGGTAGCCCCATGTAATTTTGTTGTTTTTGTTATTTGTTGGCATTTAATGCACGCTTTTCACATACGCAATGAATTTTGAAATTTTTTTTTTTGGGCTAGGCTCTTGACGTATGTATGTGAGTGGTGGAGTGGCTAGCATGGGAGCGTTATCCATAGCGCGAAAAAAAGATTTAAAGTCGCATAAAAGCCAAAAGCTAAAGGAGCTATAGGAGCCACGCGAACTGCATATTAACTTTGGCAGTAAAGTCCGATGATATAAAAATAAATTCAAAGCTGTCAATATCGGTGAAGGAGCAACCACTCCTTTGCATTTACGAGCAGACCAGCATGTGAGGGCGTCTACGAGTATATGGGAGAGCATTACAAATAACAGCAAAAAAGCATTATTAAAATTCGAATTCTTGGAGCTCATTTGAGTTAATTGTTCTGTGGCATTTAGAGTTATTTCATGCCTCAATATGCGAACCGTCGCCTGTGCACATGTGTATACTCAATTCATTTAAATTAAACTCGGAGAATTCTCTCCTCAATCCATTTGCATTTTCTGACCAAACACAATGAATTATTTGCCACATCGTTCAGGTGCTCGTCAAAATTTAAATGAAAACTTCAATTATTCATGGGAAATATTTAAACACCATTCGTTTTTGTTGCCATTCGTTGGATTAATGAATTTCTTTGGCCGTAAACGCATTTGCATGCCACATAAATTATGCCCTGCGGCATGCTATTTTTTTGTGCAAACCTGTGGCCTGTACCGAAACCAACAAGCCCCAACAACAACAACAACAGGACCTCGCCCACACATGTCCGAAATGTAGGTCAGCAATGTGAATTGAAAATCTGAATAAAAGCTTATTTGGGCTCTGGTCCACCAGGTTTTAGATACCCTTGCGGATCGAAATTCGCCGTATGGTAGATTTGTATTATTACTCGATCCAAGGGTATCTATCTTAAATTTTTTCATTTTCTTCTGACTTTAAAAAGTCTGCATTGCATTCAAATTGACATTTTCAAAGTACCTTCTTCTAGGGTATCTTAAAAACACGCTCGCAGATATCAGCCCCCAGTTTACTTTGAACTTCGTCGCAGTGTAAAATCAATTTTCATGAAATGTTCCTCTGCGCTTCCTATGAGTAATCAGCGGGGGGCAGGACAACAAATAAAGCGAAGTCTAGAACGTCTGCGTAATGCGTGTATAGATGGCGCTAACATATTGTGCCATAAATCAATTTAGCGCTATTTTCAATAAATCGAACTGCCGCCACACTCACAACAGCAAATTAGATAATTCGATAAATAATGGTAAGGAGTGGCGCTAAAGCAGACAAATTAAAACTAATGGTAAAAGTGGCGGCTTGGTCTGACCTTGCTCAGTAGATTAGCTCCGATGCGGTTTAGTTGAATAAGTAATGAGTAATGGATAAATTTCTATACAAACTATTTCGATGGCTTCCGCCATCAATCACAGCTTCCAATCACAGTTTTGTAGAAAACCAATAATTTAAAGAAAATATCATCACGCTAGCTTTGAGGATCCACTATTTTCTGCACAGGCATAAGGCAACGAGCACAACAAATTAACTAAAGATAATAAGTCTGTGCAGACAATGCAAAACAAAAAGAACAAGCAATAAAACTGAGTGAAGTATATTCCCGTTGGTTACTTCTTGTTTGGCATGCAAGTCTCTTGCATTTGCCCGAGAGCTTAAGAGCGAGAGAGCGTAGGCCCGTAAGAGCGTGAGTTGTTTTAGCAGAATGTGGACGCATGGGTGTTGTTGTTGCTGCTGAAAGCGATTGTGCAATGCATGCGTCGATCGGACATGCACAAAAGAGAGGGCAGGTAGAAAGATCAGCAGATCACAGAGCATGGCAATAGCAACGAGCGACTATCAGAACAGTAATATGAAAAATACATACATATGTACATGTATTTATGTATATTTACATGCATACATACATATACATACATACATATGTACATTAAAATATAATGGTAGTAGTACACAGAAAATGTATAACATTTTACCTGCTTTATAAGTTAGGCCGAGTTTACAATGTAGCATTCTATTATAATTGTTTTATGTGTTGTTTAATTTGAATCTGCTTGTAGTTTTTTAGATGTAAATGTGTGGATTTTATTGCAGTTCTTTAAATCATCAGGACTATAATGATGAAGTAGCAACAGCACAAGAGAATCTTAAAGTTTGACAATTTGGGTCGTTTGACTGGCTTTTGCCTCTTCCTGTTCAGCTCGGACTGCAATTGCAATTGGAATTTAAAGTTCTCGTAGTCCTTGTCGGATGTGGTAGGGATGACGTTATTCTCTCCACCCTTGACGACTGCGACTTTGTCTTGGGCTTTGTCGTGGTGGTGGTGGCTGCCGTTACTGTCGCAGATTTTGATGTTGTCGCAGTTTTGTATGCACATTTTCCTCGGTTGACCTTTCCGCTGGTACTTTTCGTTAGGGTAATTTATTTGATTGCACTTTCACAGTTTCACAATTGCTTATCCTCGTGTGTGCTCATTTCCCCCATGCAGTTTATAGTTTGTTATCAAAGTCAGCGGATTTCATGGCCGCAGATGATCGGTTTTTCCTTCATCAGTGTAATTTACAAACAAAAAATGCGAAAAAGAAAAAAATTTAGTTAAAGTTGGCGCAAGTTGAAGAAACATTTTTTAAGCCAAAAATGTATAGGGATAAACCTAAAAGGAAATTCCACAGTGGACTGAAGGAATATGGAAAGGATTGGTCAATGAGGCAGAAAAAGAGAGGGAAAAAGTTGACCCAACAATATGGGAATTTAAATGGAAAAATCTATGAGCAGCAGATGAATTCTTTGAGTAACTTCAAGCCAGAACAACCAGATCAACAAAATCATCATCCCAGAAGAAGCCTTAATTCATTTCACAGAACCCACAAACTTTCTATATAGTTCATTTTCTTGGCCATGAAATTCGGTTTATGTGGCTAAAACAGTTGACTTAATCACGGAGTTATTCCGTTTTGGATGAGGCAGAAGGCTGTGGCACTGCAAGTTTGTTATGGCCAACGCCAAAGAGGGCGAGAAGCCAACGAGTTTAATTCAATCTAACTGTGAAATAGCATAGAAAAGCCACGTGGGCTTGTCAGCCCTGGAAGGGAGAAGGAGGAATAAATTTGCAAAACTTTTGCCAACTTTCACTTTTCACTTCATTTGACGCGAAATTTAGCGCTTCTTGCATTGGGGCCTGTCCTGTGTCGTGTGTTGCCGTTCTGTGGCACACACGAATGATACTAATGGACAACGACGGTGACAGGTTTCCAAGCAGCTGCTTCCCCAGGTCCTGTGGGAAAACCTCCTTCACCCTCTCTTTCTCTTTCTCACTCTCCCACAATTTCTCTGTTTCTCTGGATGTGTCTGTCTCTCTTCTCTGCTTTTGAGTGCGCGCGCAGTGTACTCGGGAGAGCTGCCCGTGTCAGCCTGGTGTATTCCTGGCTTGTTTATACCAACAACTGTTGGTAGGTACTAGGCAGCGGTATTAATCAAAGACAGTGTACAGCTGAAGTCCTCGTCTGTTGTTGGTTCCCTCTTTGTTTTTCGATCTATGCCTCTTGGGGTTTGTTGCAGTTGCAACTGCAACTGCTTGCTGGACTTTGCCTGAACTTTTGCTGTCTTCTTGGCAGTTGGTAGCAGAGTGTCACTAGAAATTCAAAAAGGATTTCACTTCAAGCTGGGACATACAGGCGTTGGCGCGGCCACACAGACCCATATGTGATTGCGTGGCCAACACGCCCACGAAATGACTTTGAAACAAATTTATGTTGGCCTTTGGCTCTGGCATTCGCCACTAGCATTAAAGCCTGAGACTATAGCCCTTCTTTGGCAAACAGAAATAATATAAATACTCTTTTATATATGTATATATACTCATACATATGTGCATATACTCGTCCTTGTATATCCCATCAAGTTGACTAATTTGAAGCTTTCAGCTTAGTGTCTGCCAATGGGCCTATAATGGAAGCCAAACAAATGTCAGCATTGGATGAATGGAAGGAAGCTGGCAGATTAATGCATAATCGATTTAAATCCACTCATGGATCCTTTATGGTAAAAAGAAAGCCTTGGGAACATCTCTGACTATTTAATGAAATTTTACTTGAAGCCTGAAGCTAATATTAAAACACTCATGGAAGCCTTATGGCCTTGTGATTTGTTTTTCTTTGACGCCATTTCGATATGGGGTTTAAGGTCGCCTTTTACCCGCATTTCTCTTGCGTTTGGGCTCCAAGATGTGGGAACAACGCTTGAAGGCTCTCTTCCTTTTGCGACAACTTCCATCAGATGTCTTCATCTCATCGGGCTTACAGTTTGCGGCTGACCTGCTCGTCTTTATGGTCTGGCAAAAGCCTTCCACTATATGGTAGCCGGGCTTACATTCCTTCAGCGCGCTCTCTGATATTATCTTGGGATCTTGGCATGCGTTACAGAACTCAATTTTGGGCGGCGTACACTCCAGGGCCTGGGCCACCATCAGGAAAGCGAGCAAGGCAAAAACGTGCAGCAGCACCAGCTTCATCTTCGGGAATTCGATTGCGCAGTAAAGAGGTTAGTTGGCTTTATACGTTTCTACTGAGACATTTCAATTGGTTCCCCCAATTATACTGAACAAATAACTTTCCGTCACGCTTTAAAGAAAAATTTTTTAAGCCTTAATGCTAAGAAATCGTACGGTTAAGGCAGCTATTAGGAATTTCACAGGTGGAAGATTACATGCTACATACTTAAACACTTATTTAACGAGAAGTTAGACGCTTCTTACGCGTCACAACTTTTATACCCAGCACTCAGTACTACATCTGCACCTAAGCGGTGTTTTGTCAAATTTTAAATTTTTTCTTCATCTGTCATCTACATCTACAACACTTCTCACACCAACACGCTCCTTTAGCTCGCACCCTTCCCTAGACCCACACACTGCAGACTCGCGGCAGAGGCAGACGCAGCGCCCGCAAACAAAAAAAAAACAAATATAAGCTGCGGGACGGGGTGGGTTAAAAGTCGGCACAGGCAGTGGCAGGGGGAAGGCAGAGGCAGAAGCCGAGTGAAGCAGAAGCAGAGTGTGAATGAGAGAATGTAAAATGAACAACAAAAGCTGCGGGACAGGGTGGGTTTAGCCATTGCAAATTAATTTCTTCATTCTGGCTATAATAATAATATAATAATTTGGTGATCCGATAGATATGGTCATTCCCTACGGAATGGCGATTTTAGTTTTCTTTTATCTTAAAAACTGCAGGTTTGGGAGGTTTTCGCCCTTTTGCGGGGGCGGAAGGGGGCGGGGCTAATTTTTTGAATACACTGGTTTCAGTGTGAGCATACAGCAGTCTGGAGCCAAAATTTGGTGGCTCTAGCTCTTATAGTCTCTGAGAACTAGCCGGACGGACGGATGGACAGACGGACAGACAGATATGGCTCTATCGAATCGGCTATTGATGCTGATCAAGAATATATATACTTTATGGGGTCGGAAACGTTTCCTTCTCAAAAGGAAAGGAAAGTGTCCAGGGGGACACTTTTTCAATGTGTCGATTACAGTTCTTGTAAACACTTTCTAAAACACACTCTGGCTCCTCTGGATCATCTGCTTGGGCAAGCCCAGCAACGCAAGGACGAAAAGTTGCAGTAGCATCTTCTTCATGTTTGGGAGATTGAATAACTGGGACGATTTTGGTCCATTTATATATTTTTACATCGTTCACGGTTCATTTGAATAGATTACGACAAAACGAACTGGACAATATATGGTATGTACATAGATTGGAATGAATCACCGAGGCTAAACTGTAAAAAAAAAGTGACGAACAGGGACGGGACGGGACGGAACGATTCGAATATCTACATTGTATTTGCTTTCGGTACTTTTTTCTAGCTATTTAAATCCGTTTAAGACTAAACGGAACATTGCAATACATTGGTATTGGTACGAATCATTGCTACAAGTCTACGTGAGCGGCAGTACTTTTGATACTTTTTTTTAGGTATTTAAATCAGTTAAAAATTATAAAAAACGATTAGGATTACGTGTGGAAATTCTAAGAGGTGCATTTTTTTACTGTTACAATGTATTCACAAAAGGAACACTTGCCGTTCTAAATGATCGAGAATTGATCATTAGCCGTGTTTATGGTTTCAGCCGAGTAAAAGTGGAAAGAACGTGATCTCATGGGCTCATCGTTACATATTTACATATACATAGGGAGAGAGAGAGAGAACCTCATAAGCGCCATTTAAAAGCTGAATTGTAGGTCCAAGTGAAACAAACTGTTATTTCAAATATTTTCGCACAGCTATCGTTCTTCTACCATACGAACTATCGAACAGTTATATAAGTCAATCAGAAACGAAATCTTCAATATTTATCCGCTCTTTCGGGGATGCTTACTTCACATGTATACATGTATACTTTGTATACATTTTTTCTGTACTTCTTTTCTGTATTCTTTCGCTTGAAAGTAGATTTATTTATTTTACTTTTATCCAAATGTGTGTTTTCGGTTCTGTTTTGGCCATTCTTATATCTATTTTGCATATCAGCTCGACACTTAGCACTCCCAAAGCACCCGACCCCGACTCCGCCTTACGCAGCTTACGCGGGGAGAGAGTGACGGTGAGAGAGTGAGAGATTGAGAGGGTATGGGCCAAGTTGTGTATTCAACGAAATTATCATCTCGCTGGGCACGCCTCGTCCTCGTCCTCGTACGTGCCGCCGCCGCCTGAAAAGGACGAGCTGATGTCTGTCCTTGGGCCATGGATGGAGAGCTTCAGACTTTTCCTCCGCTCCCGCCATGGTCAAGCTGCTTATCTCATGCAAAACACTGGTTGCTTTAGCGAGCAAAAAGCCAAATGGCAGGACAGGAGCTGGGGCAAAAAATTGCAAAAGTGAAATGTCGAAATCATTTCCAGCCAAAAGAAAGAAACAAAAAAAATTCTTAAAATTATACTAAAGCCAATGAATGGACGGTGTGTGCCAAAAAAACTGTGTGTTGTTCTGGTGACTGTGCCTCAACAAGTTTCTTGTTGCTGCCACAATAGTGGGCGAATTCCACCTAGTGGTGGAGACCAAACAATCCAGGAACTGGAATTGGCACTACCTTGCAGGACATGCATAAAAAGTCGCATAAAAGGAGTAGCTGGGCAAAGGCAGTTAAAAGCCAGTTTTGTATTCATTACAACAATTCTAGCAGCAGGAGCAACAGCAACATCAACAATTTACGACTTCGGAAACCGGACCCCAAGTGGGTGGAATTCTTTTATGGCACCCACAGTACAGTACACCCTCCTGTCTCTGCCTCTACAATTTCTCTCTGTATCTCCACTTTCCTGCTATAGGACATTCTATCAGAATGGCCGATGTGCAAAACACAGAAAAACTTTATACTCTCGCTGCTATTTTAATTTCAGATTATTGGAATCATCACGAGTATCAAAGCGGATCATGCTATGAATTTCTATCAAACGGTTGCAATATTTCTTGCAACAAGTTTCCCTAGTAATTTTGTGCCTGCATCTTTACTCTTCTTGCATCGTATCTCAACAATTTTAATATTAAGAGTCGAAGTAGCAAGTTAGCCAGCCAACCACCATTGAGGTGGTTGTGTAAGACCTAAGCTAACGGCAAAATTATTGAAGGACGAGTCCGCGCCCCCATACACACTCCGTAGACACCTCAAGTGAAGACCCTCCCGACTCGACCTAGACAAGGCGCAGGGCAGGGGCGGAAACATACTGCAGTGCAAAAAGCGAAAGTAATGGGCAGGCGAAAAACTTTTTCTTTCGCTTAACTAAGTCAACGAAAACTCAGATGAAGCCTTCGCCTCTACTCAGAAGCACATTCTGAAGGACTTGCATAGTGTTTTCGGTGGATTTTGTTTTTATTTTTTTTTTGGTTGGTTCCCGCAATTGCCTATTTGTTTTGCGCTAAAAATTAAACGGAAACGAAAAGTTTGTGGGTTGGTAAATTACTTTACACGCCACTTGAACACGCAGGCAACGAATGAACTAACGAACGGACAGACTCACGGGCGGACAAACGGATAGACGGACAACCGCTGTACAAGTTTAATTAAATTAAAAATACTACATAATAGATGAGGCCTCAGACCGCAACAGAAAGGAAAACTTCCAAACGCTTAACGGAATAAATAGACAAATAGGCATTCTAGAAATGTCCGCCTCTTCACACAGATTTCTTTCTGTACCTAAATATACAAATAGATTTTTACCTAAGTTTGTACAATTGTTGATCATTTTTGAGCATAACTTCCAAGGCCTGGGAAAACTGTAAATTATTTAGAAAGTTTTTAAGACGAGACCGCAACTAGTTTTCATCTCAGGTTGCAACAGTTATTCGCAAAGAAGAGTGTGTGTAGCTAGCAAACAAAATGATTTTCCACCTAGAGAACCCGATCAAATGGCTAAACAACTTTGCAGCGACCCCGACAGCACTCTGAAACAATTGACACAAAGCCCATCAACCATACAATACGAATTTTTATCAAGAAACAAACACTGTAATTACTCAGAGCACAAGCTATAGCAAGAGGTGAAAACCAATTCGATGAAAAGCGAATACAAATGAAAAGCGAAATAGTTCAATTGGTAAATTCCGTGCAGTTTGTTTGCGTCTTTGTGGCGAAATTTGATCAGGCCGCTGATGGCTGTTTGTGCCCTTAAAGTGCCACGCACAAACGAAGTGCCTGCCTGATAAGAGATACATTTTTTTTGTACATACTTTCGGTTAAAGTTACTGCGACGACAGCCACAAGAACAACAAGATGACGACGAAGGAGGCGAGGAGGATATACTGCTATTTGCACTTGACACGCACTTTGGCATTTAATTTAATTAAATTTCAGTTGAATTTAGTTTAATTTATTTTTAACACATTTAACATTTAGTTGATAAGAACAACTACACACACGGAAACATTCAAGCTCTTTAGGTTATATTTTTGCACGGTGAATTACGAGTATATATTTATTATGTGTATATAGATATATTTCAACTATGTATATTAATGGGGAATTGGATTTGTTTTAGCTACTGTTGCTGTTTCTTCTTGGTTTTTGGTTTTGATTTTGGTTTGTGCTGTGAGTGTGTTAACGAAATGAGGAAAGATTGTCTACTGAGTGTGCAGCGCTGGGCCGAGGACCAGAGAGCTGGCATTCGGCGGTGTCACCGTGCGTATGTGTGATACGCGTCTCGGGTTTCCTTTTTTTGCCTTGGGAAAGTGCGCGCGCAAAATGGCTTTGGCATCGGCAATGGTCCCCCCACAACAGCTGTGCTGCTCCAGCTGCTGCCCCGAGCGAGAGAGAGAGCCGCCGAAAGCGCAGGCCCAGTGAAAGAGCGGGTCAGTGCCAAAGTGAAAGTAGTTTTGTTGATTAACATTCTTCAGAGTTTACCCACATTAGAAAGGTCGCCAATTTCACTGATAATAGCATTTGTCCCTGCTGGCAATGCTGCCACAACTACTAGAAGAGACACTCACACAGCAAGAGATTGAGAGAGAGAAAAGAAAAAGAGGCAGGTAAGAAGAGCGAAGCAGACAGGAAGTGACTTCGGTAAGTGGCATTTCCCCAAACAAATTCGAGTGGCCACAAGTCCATTCGCTGGAAAATCAACGAAATGCAAATTAAAACAGGCAAGAACTTACAGTTCGAATTGAATCGAAGGGGGAATGTATTAATCTTCCCTGGCAGATCCGCAATAGTAACTTATTTATAAGATTTTTGGGTTTTATTATTATCTGGGAATATAATAGGTAAATAAGGTATAGCTCAAGTATCTTAAAAATCCTGGAATCAACGAACACAACCATAATATCCATTTAAAAAATTGTATTTTTGCCTGCGAATCGAATTTGACTTTCCCCCATGAACCCAGAAATCGTGACAAATTTTCTGTTGCAGATCTATAATTGTAGTAATTGGACCTATAGTTGTCATATTCCCACTAAAGGTTGTGTCTGCAGCTGAGTAAGCACTTGAAATTTTTATCTGTGACTATGTGCACTCACGAACGGCATGCAACTGGTGGAATTTTCTATTCCTAGACTGTTAGCCTGCATTAACTTATTGCTAAATATTTGTATAACTTAATTTCTTCTATGAATCGTTTAAGGGTATCTTATAGTCGGAACATAAACTAAAAATCACCTACGAGCTGAGCTCTGGAGCTGTAATCCACACCCCAAACGTGACGGCTCCAACGCGAGTGATGGATATCTGAGAAGTTCCGTTTTGGAGAATATCGAAATCATTTAAGCTACATTTTCATGTCGTCTGCTACGCTGAACATGAAGCCACTTCTACAGAGATATGGAAAAAGAATAAAAAATAGAACAAATGAACTATAGACTATCGTATATAACCAGCTGCCGTCGAAAATTAGCTTCACTCAGCGAAATCTGTTGAAATGTGGCACAAACCAAACCTGGGAATATTGCTCCTCTATTTGATGGCCAGCGAAGGAAACGCGCTGCCCACCGATGTAGCCAGATACAATAAATTGGGGTATGTTCTTTTCGAATTAAATATAAATTTGGAAAACAAAACTCCATCTACCCACAGCCAAAGCCCAACAGCAGCAACTGAGTGCAAGAACAGCAGTGTGGTTTCAACGACTAACAGTCTGGATACTGAGAGAAACACATCGCCACCGGACTTTGAGTACGCTCTGCTCGGTCAGGATCCCAAGGATCAGCATTGGTATCGGGTCAGTCTTACGCCCACAAAGAACCAGACTGGCTATCGAGCCCAGTTCGCCACACGGAAGCAGCCGCCCTTCGATGATCAAATGGCTCACAGGCACGACAAGACCATTGGCGAGCTGCTCGATTGGCTGGACCATTCCGAGGAACGTAATCTGCTGCAAGTGTATCGCGACCTATTGGAGGACGAGCAGAGGAAATTAGAGGCAAATCAAAGGCTGGATAATAAAATCGAAAGGGCCACCAAGAAGTACTTCCAAAAGAGCAACAATCAGTTGGTAGGAGAGGAGGCGACAACCCCAGCACCAGCATCAAGCCCAAATGGTATAGAACCAAAGGATGTGCAGGACTTTGTATACTTTATAAAGGGACTGAAATGAAGTGCGTAAAGATGTTCCTTGAACAAAAAAACAGTCGCTAAAAGGCCGTTCAATTTGTAATATTTGAATGAAATTCCCAAACCTATTACCACCCTCAAACAAAATTCTATAAATTCCAAATAAACTGCATTAAAAATAGTTACAAACAAATAATCTCCTTTCAATATTTCACCCTAAACTTTTACCACAAAAAGCGCAGCTTTTCACCTCTTATACGCTCTCTTATACACGTGCTCTCAAATCGGGAAATGCCAAAACGAGGCCTCGTCGAAGAGTTAACTGACACTTGCTGCTCCAGTTGGATGACCATGGCCCGTTTCGGGACTTTGGAGCGTTCAAGAGGGGAAATAAAAGCAGCGAAACGAGACACTCTGAGCGACTGACACGAATTGGATGGTTTTTATTTTATGAGAAATGGTATTTTATAATCCGCTTTATGCCTGACCATTCTCATCACGGATATTCTGCAGCTCATAGGCAGCTCTATAGATCTGCTTGCCATGCTCTTTGTCATAGTACAATAGACTTGGATTGAGGTTCGTGTAGCCTTGATCATAGAGGCAACAGTAGCCCAACTTCTGATCTCGAATATAGTTCCAGATGTCGTGATAGCTCCACTCGAGCAGCGGAAAATCCTCATCATTGCTGGCCATCCATTGTCACTGGGCACCATCTCCGTCAACTGCGAGCAGCCAGCAACTGGGGGTGCTCGCCCAGCGCCTGTTTAATGGCCACCTTGAGAGCGCTCTCGTAGCTCTTGATCTGCAGTTGATAGCGCTCCGCACAATTCTCGACGAAGTTACCCAGCTCCTCGAATGTATCAGCACGCTTGACATAGACCGCCTGCAGCGATGGTGTGCTCAGTTTAGCCAAAAGGTCCAACAGGACAGTGCAATCCTTGCCTCCATTGAAGCACAGCATTATCTCAGCCGGCTGGTAAATCTCCAGAGCCCGTTTAATTGTCTCGTTGGCCAACTCCAACATATACCGCCTGTCCAGTGAATTCTCCGCCGGGGGTATGTGCATGCGGCGACAGCGGCAGCCCAATGGTTGCTGGAATATTGTTCGCCAGAATTTCAAACAAAAGGGTTTCATTGAGCAGATACAGAAAATCAAATCTGTTGCTGCAACAAATGACATTTTAGAAGCAGCTAGACTTGTTTCACTAAAAATTGGCAATATCAGTGAGTAGAAAAATATAAAAGATAATTGAATAAAGTTATAAATAAATATTCGCGATTTATTCTTTAGATTCGCTAAAGAAAAGACTGCTATCAAAAAAATGCTTTCAATCCGCTCTTTTTTGTCATTGTCTGTTCCGCAACAGTCTCAGGTTTGATCCAATAAAATGTACACTCAGTGAGTAAAAAATTGCATTATTAAATAAATAAATTTATAAATAAATATTCCCGTAAACTGGCAAGAAAAAACTCCCAAAAATGAACCAAATTTTTCGTTTATTATGTTTTGCAAATCTGCCGTGCCGTAGTAGCTGAAATATTGTTTCTTCAACAAATTTTCTGTGGCCCATAAAAAGTGGAGGAAATATTTGTAAATGTCGCTTTCTGTTGAAAGTGCAAAAAATCGACGCTGCCATTGGGTAAAGCGGAAAACTTGGTCACTTCTTGACTCGGCAATTTCTGATCGCCGAGCTACAGCCGTAAAGCCATACAGTATATAAAGCTGTTGGAGACAGCCAAAGAATATCGCAGTCTGCTTCCAGCAAGTCTAAGAAGTCAAACAACCCAATCATCATGAAGTTCGTCGCTATTATCGCCACCGTGTGCCTGCTGGCCACTTACGTTGCCGCCGAGAAGAGGCAGACCGTGGGCTCAGCCTATGGCGGTGGATACGAGAAGCCAGCAGCAGCTCCATCCTACGCTGCACCCGCAGCACCAGCTGCTCCGGCCTACGCTGCTGCGCCCGCTGCCGCTTCGTACGCCGCACCCGCTCCGGTGTCCATTCCGGCACCACCTTGCCCCAAGAACTACTTGTTCAGCTGCCAGCCCAACCTGGCTCCAGTCCCATGCAGTGCCCCCGCACCCAGCTACGGATCCGCCGGCGCCTATTCGCAGTACGCTCCCGTCTACGCACCCCATCCCGTGCACTGGTAAAGAGTTGATTAAGCATCCAACGGCAGAAAACGACAAAAAATAAAAAATAAATTGCATTGTGCAACATAAAGATTTGATTTCATTTTTTTACCCGGAAATTAGAGCGGGTGCTCAAAGGGTTCTTTGTTCTAGTTTGTAATACTTCCGTTTACGGCAGCGGAAAATGATCAAAAGAAGCCCAAAGCAGAGCCACAAACATAATATACGGATAGATGGGAGCATTTTCCTCCACTTCGCTGGTTCTTAGAATGACCACAACATAACGATAATTTAAGTTTTCCCGACAGTCTTCGCACTCTATATCTACTAGGTCATTCTCTTACCGAATAGGCCAACCTCCATTGACCAAGGCCATCCATGCGATGACTCTAACGAAAATCCGAGAATCTGCAGCAGTAGGCAGAGTTCTAACATATCCAATCGAATCAAAGCCAAGCTAAAACCGAGGCGAAACTATCTTTGCCTCTATGCCGAAACGACTGAGAGCAGATAACAACAATTTGTTCGCTTTATAGGCCAACGCCATGATAGATATCGAATTTCCATTTCAGCAATCTTGACTCTGGTCCAGTTAATTCCGGGAGTTGTGTTTGCAATCCGAGCCGATTTGGAAACAAACAAACAAACAAGCAAACAAATAATAACTAATATTCGTTTATCCACCTTCTACTGGAAAACGTATCTGGTTACACAGCTGTTTGGCTAAAATATTTGAATCAAACCATAAATATGAATATATTTTGAGTTAGCAAACTGACTGATAAATTTTTTTAAATTCAATTCCACAGATAATGTTGTCAATATCGAATTACGAAAAGATAAAGCAAAGATCTACGAACTTACATATGTCAACATAACTCAATTATAGATATTCAGAACAGCCATAACTGAACTCAATAAGCTAAGTAAACTTCAAATACAAAAACTCAATTAAATGCTCTAAAATAAAACCCATTGAAAAGGACAAAACAAACGAAGGCCCAATGAAATTCGATTGGAAGTAAACAGAAATTGAATGAACCTCAGGCATAACTAAAAAATAAACTAAACCCAATAAAGTAAGTTAACTATATATTAACGAACTCAATTATATGCTTAAATAAAAAAAAACCCCATTTAAAAAGTAAATTAAAATTTAAAAACGAAGAGGAAGGTTTGGGTTTCAGTCAGTATATATGTATGTACATATTCATGTGTGTAACCTTATTTTTCTTTCGAATTTTACATTTTACATTTTTCTACAGCGGTCATCAACATCTTCATCACTTCTCATACCAACACGCCCTTTTAGCTAGCCCCCTCCCATAGAGCATCACACTGTACGAAGCAGAGTGTGCCAGCGAGATAGCATGAGTAACAAAAATTACCAAAGTGGCTGGAAGTGTTAGGGAGTAGCCACCGCTAATGAGTTTCTTCGTTCTGGCTACAATAACGATCCAATCTGATCCCAATTCGGTGATCTGATAGATATCCCCATTCTCTACGGAATTGCGTTTTGAGTTATCTATTTGTGGTTTCGGAAGGGGGCGGTGCGAAATTTTGAAAACACTTGTAACAGTGTGATAGTACAGCATTCTGGATGCAAAATATGGTGGCTGTAGCCTTATGGTCTCTGAGTTCTAGGCGCTCATCGGAACGGACAGACGGACGGAAGGACGAGGCGGACAGACGACAGACAGCCATATCGACTCGGCTATTGATGCGGATCAATAATGTATAGGGTCGGAAACGTTTACTTCTGTAAATAATCACGAAATACAATATAACCTATTTACTCTTTGAGTACCGGGTAAAAAAAGAACGTACCCACGCAAGTTATAATTATTTAAAAAATTGTTTCAAAAAATATTATTTATACACGATAAGTTGTTGTTTAATTGCATCTTCCGAGTTGCCACATCTCAGTTGCTAATATTAGTATTTGTATAAAAGAAACTATAAATATGGAACAAACCGAATGGCGCCTATGCAATTAATGTGCTGCATAAGGCAGCCGAAGAAGCACTTGGAGTATTACTAGATATCTATGAATATGAATTGTAAACGAAACCAAAAATGATCATGGGTGGCGTGAAATGATAATGGCAAATGTCTCGAAATGTGAAGAGTTCAATGAGAATTAAATTCGTTCAACTCTGATAAACATAACGTGTGAAAATCTAAACGAAGACGTCTGTATGGCCCTCAATAATCATCGGGTTCATCGACAACATCGTCAAAGAATCGGGCAGCCTGTAACTGTTTGCGGATGGCGCCCACCTGTGTGAGGATTTTGGGCGATGAGTTGGAAACGGTGAACTTTTGTACGGCGGGCACCTGCACAATATATAAACAAGAAAATCTTTGAATTCCCAAACAAAACGATAACGAAAATATCAAGAAAAACATACCTCCCAACGCTTTTTGAGACTGTCAATGTTGTGTTGACCATTTCCGGGCAATGTGACGGCCGTTTCCTTACGCGTCATTTTGGGCATTTCACGCAGCAGCGGCATCGAGAGATTGTGACCGGGAGCCTCCCTTAGCACTACATCACGTCTGGCCAAAGATTGAGGCGTCGTTTGAGTGCCACGATGACGGGACTCACTCTTGCTGCGGTGCAGCTGAAGCTGATCCTGTTTCCGCAGCTTCTTTTGCTGCTTGGAGGCCAGATCGCCGTAGTTCTGGAGATAGCGCGACAAGCGCTGGTCCGTTTGCCTACGCACACGCTCCATGGCCTGCTCGTCTGCGCTGTCGACCTCAAGGCTGACGTTGGCACTCCCCGAGAATGTGGGCAGCTCCTCCACAAAGGATGGCTTGACGGGCGTCGGCTTGTACTCGGAGTGGAAAACAGAATTACGCGCAATGTTAATGGAGTAGGGAGGCGATGCGTCAGATTGCATGAGGTTGCTGGCCGTTGATTCCTTCACGGCTGGCACTTCATAATTCAATTCCAGCACTCGAAATGCATTGTCCAAATGCGGCTCTCTGTCAGTGACATCAGTTGTCTCATTGACATGCGTGCGTTCCGTGTTGCGGCCACAGGCAACCTCCTCTAGGCAAAACGAACACAAATTGCGGCGACAGTTCATGCAGACATTGCGCTCGCGCTGGCACGCTCGACACACATCACTCTTGGCCAGGCACTGGCTGCACATCGCATACAGTCGCTCGCACTTATGGCACACCAGCGCATAGCTGCTCTGACAATTATGCTGTGGGTCGTCTGGATCCTCATCTCCCTCAATTCCATTTTCATTTCCATTGTGTTCCTTCGGCTGCTTTTCTTTGCTGTCTTCCGTCTGCTTCAGTTTCACTGCCAGCTTGCGCTGGCATCGCAGACAGCAGCTCTCGTAACTCTTCAGCGGCTCGTCGCACAGCGGGCATATCTTCTCGCACAGATGGAAGCACTCTCGTTCGATCTTGGCCATTTGCGGCAGCTCAAAGTCCAGCTCAACGGCTGGCGGCAGCGGCTGGCCACGTCTGTATTCGTGGTGTGCAGAATTACTAAAATATTTATAAACCTTATTGGCGGTTGCCTCGCTGCTTATGTTATTCGTGCTGTTGTGAATGTTCTTTTTACTCCGATGTGATCTGGGTGTGTCGGCCAGGTTGTTGTTGCTCTCCTTGACCAGCAGCAGCTGTGCGTCCTGCTCCAGCTTGGCCAGCAACTGCTCTCGCATCAAGCGGTTATGTTCCGTGTCATTGCGAGCCTGGCAGCACAATAAGGGATATAACAAACAGAGCGGATTAGTTGAGCCAAAAAAATAATATCAATTAACGGCCACTAGATGCGATAATACTCTCGGCTAACTCAAGTTAAATGCTCCAATATCAATTACAATTCATTTAGGCTATCGAGTCCAGTGGCTTTAGATCATAAATCTAATGGTAATACCAATCAAAGGCTATTAAATTTAATCGGATATATGCGGAAACGCCATCAGCTAATCGAAGTCTACGGACTATATAAATACATGCAAGGTTCCAAATTCGGTTTGTTTTTCCTACCCAAACCCCAACCCAAAAAGGTATATTAATAGTTTTTGGTTCCATAAATGAATGGCAGCCCATACACTAGAGAATTTTTGGCATAAACAGCCACTACAATTGGGGACATCGAAAGAGTAGAAACAGACTTGAATAGCCAAAATATATCTGAATACATCGCCGACCTAACCATGCTGCGGTGTTTAATTGTGAAAGAACAAAAGATTTGAATAATCACTCCTTAAATATCTGTTATCCTCAGTAACCAAAATTAACCAGCAAAACTAGTACTCAGCGAAACCTCAGCAACGGAAGACTTTTTTCGATGAAAACCCTTACTTCAATAAAAAAAGTTCCCACTGCTGGAAAAGCTGATCAATAAATCATATGATAACCAACCCTGTGCTTTACAATCAACTCTGATCCCATATCCCTACTGTTTAACTTAACTTCAGCTTACAGCTTGAACCGTTCGCTTGGTCTCTTGCTATTATTCAATTTAGTTTGCCCGAAAGCAAATAATATAAATTGCAATTCTGGTTTTACCTTTTCAACGCGCAATCGCTCCTTTTCCAATTGCTCCTCTAGCTGTATGGTTTTGAGCTGATTCTCCAGTCGCCTAAGCAGAAAAATACATTTAACACTTCTGGTACACAAAATCCATTCGCAACTTACCTGGTCAATGCCTCCTCCTGTCGACGCTCCTTCTCTCTGAGCAACTCTATGGAGCGGCGCTTCTCCTCAATCTGTAGCATAAGATCGCGCTGATAATCCTTTTTGCGGGCCGTCTCCAGCTCGGCACTACGCAGATTACGCTCCATAATCCCATCGCCCGTCACAATATTCGAGAGCTCGACATGGCCCAGATCCTGTAGCAGCTTGTTACGCGTGGTGGTCGAACGGACTTTGGGCGGCACATAATTCGGGTTACTATTTACAATTAACTCTAAGTCAGTCTTGTCCGTGGTGCTGTGATTCGAGGTGCTGGTGCTGGATTGGCTGGACCGTGCCGTAATGGAAGCACCAGCAGGAGCTGCAACTGGAGGCGCTTGCGATGGCTTCCTCACTTGTCCCGGTCGCTGATGCTTTGTGACCGGCGGATGAAGCATCTGCAATTGGTTCAAAAATTAGGCGCCAGCTCGTAAATTTCATACTGATTACCATAACAAGAAAGCATTCCGCACATAATCGGAATCAGACATATTTTCACGGCAATCTCTCACCTGGTGCTTGAGAAAGTTCTGCTGGTTCTCGCGCTGTCGCTCACGCAAATAAGTTTGCCGTTTCTGATTTTCATTGTTAAAGCCGGGGAAATACGAATAAAATGTGTCCGTAACCCATTGCTCCATGTCATCCTGTGCGAGAAAGAAAGAGAAAACAAATGTAAGTGGGGGCGGTATATGTATATTTGTATGTATATTTATATTTATTATATCGTTCTTGTCGCGCGCTTTCTTTTCTTAACTACACTTTTCTACACTAACCACCAGCAAGAAGCTTGTATACATTTTCGTATGGAGCCGGTGGGGCCGGTGGGGCCAGAACCAGCAAATAATTATTTCAGCTCCGTGTTCCCTCTTTCTATTTTTTATTTTGGGTCAGCAGCACCTTCCTAGACTCGAGCAGGAGCCGGAGCTGCTCTAGCGAACACTCCACAATGCCTACTGCCATTTTGCACATAATTTTTATGCCGTCAACGTCGAGAAATCGCGTGCACCGATGGCATCAACAAAATTATATACAATCCGGACACCATAGTCAATGCGGCCACTGGATTCGAATGGAAAAATTCCCAGTAAAACTCAAGAGAGGTGTTCAAATTGAAAAGTCTTGATCAATAATTCGTGTATCCTTCACTTGATTGTGTCCAAACGTTTATCATGAAATATATTAAAGTAGCAAATTAGATACCTTTTTCCCTGATGACAGCTCAGTCCCATATTCCCTCATAAGCGTTAACAAAACTAGTCATACACCAGACAAAGGGTTTTCGTTCGTAGCCCGACTGAAGGCGCTCTCCGTGTTCTGCTGAGAGCGTCTCCGTCAATTGGCACTTTATCAACCATTCCCAGCTGTTTCAGCCTGCTCTAGGCTCCACTTCTACTTATAGGCTGCATGCAGCGCGCTTCACTCTCTATTAGCCACGATGATGGCCACTTAATTAATGCTCCCTTTAACGTGTTCATCATTTGAGTGGTGCAGAGAGCAAAGCCGAGCATAATTAAGAGCCATTTGCACATGCGAGGGATATGCAGAAGGAAGGCAGAAACACACATAATAAAATCCTTTAATTTAGGTCAGGGAAACTATCAAAATGAGACTGGGTAGTCCAACGGGGGGGATCGGACAAGAGACTGCTGGCAAGTTTGGGGTTTATTCTGAGTAGAGCTGACTACTTCAAATTATATTTTACATGTAGATAATAACCAACTGCCCTAGAAATATCGATTTGAGACTCTCATAAGAACCTGTCACACATCGAAAGTACTCTTCAAAGTGCTCCCCAAAGTACTCCCTTGAATGTGTTCAGTGTTTACTACGACCATTCATTGGGTTCGGTTGCGTGCCGTCTCCAAATTGGGTTAACCAAGTGCCAAACGTCTGCCAGTTGGTGTACAAAAAGTGCGAAAACTAATGAAAATGCGTGTCGAAGCTGGAACTGGAATGGAATCATCTGTCGCCACGCGAAAGTTCAAGGACATGCGATGGAATTTAAATTGACTTTTGTCCCTATTTTAAGAGTATAGAGTATGGTCTATTCGTGCTGGTGTGACCTCAAGTTATCCTACACTCGAAGGGTGGCTTAATTAAGCCCCGTCTTTCTGTTGGCAACCTTGTCCAGGTCATGACTTTGGTTCACAGTACATCAGAGTACATATATATTGGTCGTTGCTAGAGCTGTGCTTCTCAGTTCCACCGCATTTATTTCAAAAGTTTGTTCAACTGGTTCCTTCGTGCCAGCCACTGAGCTAACCCTTGGCTCTAATTGCTCAGTGTGAAATAAATGAACTTAATTAAAGGATTCTTTTGTAATTGGGTGAAGCATGCCAATTAAATTAAATTTATCTAAAATAGAAGTAGAATTAATTATTATTCTGTTCGGCCAAGTCATTCGTCATTCATCCACCTCCAATATCCATTATCATTACCAATTAATGTGAGGCGGATTTCCCATGTCCATGTCCACCTCAGCGAGGAAGTGAGTTGGCAGAACAAAAAGCCACTTCGGGCCACCGGGGCACTTTGTCAAGAGTATTGCATGACTGGGCTCTCCTAATTTCGAATCAAAATTTAAATCACTCGCTAAAAGCGAAATAAAACAGCAACCAAAAAAAGTGGAGTGAGAATACGGTCCTGTACGCTGGAATACCGACTATTCAGAGGGGAAGTAAACCCATCAAGTAAACCTTAGAACCCCATCTTTAGATGGTCTTCGATCACTAGGGGATACACCATAAAAAAATTTCAGTTTATTTCTGATATTTAAATAGATAGATGTTAGATTCTAAGTATCCGTGATGACGGGTCATGCGATTTCTAATTTTTTACGTTTTATTTTAGCGACCGTTCAATTTTTTGCATTGTTTGTTTTGGGTCACTTTGATTTTTGGGTTAACTCGTGGTGGCATGGCCAAATTAAGTCAATTAGAGGGCCCCATTCATTTCGTTCCGTTCATTTGGTTCCGTTCGTTGGTTTTGATTTGCCGGTAATCAGGGGCAAGCCTCACCTCGTATACGTATACCTCATTTATATAGGAAATATATATACTATATGCAAAAAGCAATTTCAAGTTCAGACCAAAACAGAAGCAAACGCAACAAACGAGCTTCAAATTACAACTGAGAGAGCTCGTGGTGCCAGTAAATTCATTAAACGAATGGCTCGTCCACGGCAGAGCCAAAATGGTAACTGGAGCACGGAACGGAACGGGGAGGCAGCAGCAGAGCTCCAACAACAATGGGGCATGCAACATTGATAGCGGAAGGAAACGAGGCCACGCCGAAAACTCAACAAAGCACGGCAAAGACCAAAGAACTAAATGCTGAATAATTAAAATGACCAACTACTAATTTCGCCATACTGGAGGCCAGCCCCCTAAGCTCAAAGGTTAGGCAGGATGCGGACCTGGACAGGCAGCGACTCAACGCCAATAACCCAATAAATAATGCACACATGTGGATATTGAAAAGTGAAAAGGTGGAAAGCTGGCAGTAAACAAGAAGTCCACCAAAGCGCTAACACCATCAACAAACTGACAGCAATGGGTACGTTTTAAACAATTATACACAAATGAAAATGTCTTTGTGTGCAAATAAGCTACACGTGACACGATCTTTCTCAAACTGAACTTACTGAATTATTCCCAGGTGCCTGATAAATGTATTCTAATTAATATACTACCTAAAAACACGTGCATCTCATAAGCTGAGTCTGAACCACGTTTTGTGAGCATTAGAACCGCGTGCATTTACAGTTGGGCATGCGGAGCCGCTCTTAGAAGACTCACCAAGGTGAACAGAAAATTCAATCAGAGCCTGGAACACTATGAAATCTAAAATGCAACTGATACTCGGTCTGAAGATTACGAGAGATATTTGTGGCAGAGCATCGGCTTTCAGATATCTTCAAGTGGCTCAGCGAGGCGTAGAGAAACGAATTTCGCACATTTATGGCAATCTCCCAGTTAATTGGCGATGCGCCAGTGAAGCGAAACACACATTCTGGAGCATGTCGTGCCCACGTCAATATGTAGCCCCAATTGTGGCCTCCACTCATCCCGTACTCACCGTGCGCCGAATTGGCAAGCGATTCTCACTTAGCGGTCGCCCGCTTTCCAAATTGCGTCGCGACGCCACATCTGGCGATTTGTATTGCCGGGCGCTTCCGACAAGCAGCTGACGCTGGTTTGCGAATTCCTTGGTCGATTTGGTTGGGCTGGCACTCCCCTCGGACTCCCCGTCGGGCCCACCCAGGTGGCTCAAGTCCAAGTGAAGTTCTTCGCTTAAGTTTTGGTTGCCGGTTGCTAGGGAAGACGACTCCGAAAGGAGTTCATTGGACTCCTTGGCCCTGCGCTGACATTGCATTGGCATGTAGTCGCTGTTTTGCATTAGCAGGGCGGCGGGGCATGCCGTGGAAAGACGCTCTCGATCCTTCTGCAGTTGCTTGCGCTCCAATGAGAGAAACTGTTGCAGGTCCATGTCTCCACGATCTTTAGTTCTTTAAGCAATTGTAACTTGCAAAACAAACACACAGCATATTGCAATTGGCTATACTTTTTGTTGTTTGTAAAATTTAATTAAATGCGCCATAATTTGGGTAACTGTGTGACCGCGGATTTCTCTATAAAATATGCCTCAGAAATATACCAAAATATACCTACGAATTTCCAAAAATACCAATATTATACCGAACATAGCGAATATATCATTCGTTCTAAGTCCGTGTCCAGAAATCATATTGCTAAATTTTCATATTCTATTGAATATTATTAGCAAGCTAAGACCCCCTGCCCTGAACATATTATTTTATCCGATGAAGCAGTTTTCTAAAATGGTGGCTAACTTTAAGGGCTCCTTTTTAGTTGGTTGCATGCAAAATGAGCTTTCAAAAAAAAAGGTTTAATCACAAAGTGCAAAAATATACCGAAATACACCTGTTGATTCTTTACAATTTGGTTATTATTTTACCAAAGCTGGCTGATCAGAAACACCAACCGAAATCCAATCTTAGACGGTGGCCAGGATGTTGAGGCTGCTATAGACACGTTTACCAATAACATTCACCAAGCAGCTGCATTGCGGCCCCGACAATTAGTCATCGGTACCGACCTAGGATCCTTGACAGGGAAATCCACCTATGGAGCCCCCAGATCGCCGAACTACTACACGCAAAACGCAGACTCAGGCGAGCCACGTGACAAGTCATAAAACGGCCAACAAAAAGGGCAGTCCCAGTTAATGACACGGACGGCAGCTGGCGATGATGCCAGGCGATGATGGCATCAATGCAATCGCACTGAAGCTGCTACCCCCAGTCCGCATGGAACTTATCACTAAGCTCTTTAACAGATGTCTGCAGATTGGGCACTTTCCAGCGCAATGGAAACGAGGACAGTTAGTTATGATACCAAAGCCTGGGAAACCTGAGGCCAATCTTGCCTCTTACCGACCGATCAGTCTTCTGGCGACGCTCTCCAAAATGCTCGAAAGAGTATTCTTGGGGTATTGGGCAAAGCTGGTTTGATCCCCGATCACCAGTTCGGCTTCAGGCGTGGTCATGGAGCCCCGGAGCAATGTCACAGAATCGTTCAACGTATCCTGGACGCTTTTGAGTACAAGAAATACTGCTGTGTTGTAATGCTTGATGTTAAACAGGCATTTGTCTGGCGATTCTGGCGTTCCTTGCCTCACACTTGGCTGACAGGCAATTCTTGGTGAAGGTAGTGTGCTCGGCCCACTGCTTTACAATCTGTACACTGCAGACCTGCCCCGACCTACTCATCGCCACCTAAACTGTTGACACAGCCACTGCTGAAACACCGGACGAGGCCTCTCAAATAATGCAAGCAGAGCTAGATTTAGTCAACAACTGACAGAGGAGGTGGAACATCGCTGTCAACAACGATAAGTCCACATTCGCGTTAAGGCTGGCTAACTGTCCAGCTTTATACCAGGAAGGGATCATATTATAAACAGGAGGCTAACCTGGAGGGCTCACCTGCTTAAGAAAAGAAAGCAGGCGAATGACAAGCTGAAGAAACTCTATTGGCTAATTGGCAGCAAAAGCAAACTCAACCTGCGTTCGAACCAATATGGGCGTACGGCATACAACTGTGGGGAACTGCCAAGCCAAGTAACCGGCGGAGCATACAAATTTTCCAAAATAAAGCCCTTCGAGTAGTCGGTAATGCACCAGCACGATAAAAACCTAGCTATTGGCTGGAACAAAACCAAAAAAAAATTGTACCAACGCTTTACAGCACTCAAACAACAACAGCCGCTTGGCTCCAAACTTCAATTCAAATGTCCAACTAGAAGAATTGAAATCACTTTCTAACAGATCAGTGAGCGTGCCGTTTCGTTGTGAATCGAAAAGTGAAATATATTTTGTAAAGTAAGGAGAACAGCTGAAGCTGTGAAACGAACCAACCATGATGGGAAATCAGTTTATATTTTCGCGGGAGCGCGGACGCTTCGGTCGGCAATGCCTGTTCTCCGACCGTAACGAGCTACTCCTGAGCGTGCACCCAAATGGACGGCTCCGCCTGAAGTACATCCTGCGCAACCCGTGCGACATGAAGACACAGTTGAGCAAGCAGATGGCCCTGAGCACCGCATTGACAGAGAACGTATCGCTGGACCATCATGGGATGTACCACTACGAGGGCGGATGGAACGTGAAGGAGGTGAACATACTGGACGAGGAGTCCACGATGCGCTACCGCAAGAAGGTGGAGCGCGACGACTCGTGGGGCGTCGAGGTGGGACAACTGCTGCGGGATTGCATGAAAATGAGCTCACAAAACAACGCCATTAACCTTTACCAAGACTACTTCGCTGACCTGGACAAGGAGCTGTGCAGTGGCATTAGGATGAAGATCACGGCCCGTGGCATTAACATCTTCCACGACTTGTGGTTTCCACCCCGATACCTGGCCATGTGCGACTGGGTGCCCAACAATAACAAGCAGTTTCTGGCCACATTCAATGACCGCAGGCGCCTATTGAATCCGAGCCAGAAAGCAGTTTCTCAGTTTCCTGACTTGGGCAACGAGAACGCCTTGTATCTGTGGGATATCAAAGATCCTACGCGACCGATCGCCTACTTTGACTCCAACGAGATGGTTTCGCTGGCCAAGCTGTGCCCCAAGGACGAACACTTTATGGTCGGAGGCCTGAGCTCGGGCAAGGTTTGCCTCTGGAGTGTCCCGGAGTTCGGCCAGGCCAAGCAGATGTGCCCGCTGGAGGCGGCTCACAGGGAGGTCACCTCGGCACTGTGCTGGGTGCACTCCAAGTCCAACACGGAGTTCTACTCGGGCTCGCTGGATGGCTCCATCAAGTACTGGGATACGCGCGATATGATGATGTCCATCCAAGATCTGCTGCTCGAGCCGGACCCCAAGGATGTCCAGAAGCGCGCAGACTCGCACGGTGTGACTGTCTTGGAGTTTGAGTACACCATTCCAGTGCGCTACGTCATGGGCAGCGACATGGGATGCGTTTTTGTGGGCAATCGCAAGGCAGTGACTCCGTCCGAGACAATCCTCGGCCACTTTCAGCTCTTTGCCGGCCCCATTCGCAGCATTGTGCGCAATCCGTTCTTCGTGAAGAACTTCCTGCTCGTGGGCGACTGGCGGTGGCGCATCTGGTCCGAGGAGGTCAAGAACTGCCCCAGCACGCTGTACTTTAAGAAGCGGAATCAGCTGACCGGCGGCGCCTGGAGCACGGGCCGCTGCTCCCTGTTCGTTACCTGCGACGACAAGGGCACGCTGGATTTTTGGGACTTGCTGATGAGCCATCGCACACCCATACTGTCGGTGAAGTTCAAGCAGAGAATTACACACGTGGCATTCCGCCCTGATGGCCGGCTGCTTACCGTGAGCCTGGCTGGCGGTGACACAATGATGCTCCTCCTCGAGGAGGCCATGAGGACAGCTACCGGAAAGGAAAAGGCTCTCATGGCGGCGGTTAATTATGCTAAAACTTTTGCCACACTAACGATTCTCATTCTGGTTGTCTGTCCACAGCTCTTCGAGCGGGAGATCTCGCGTGGCAAGCTGCTGGAGCAGCGCGAGGAGGAAATGAAACTGAAAGTGCGTACCACAAAAATGTTGCAGGAGGAGCTTCGCACCAATGAGAAACCCCCCAAGCCCATTCTTGAGTTTGATATCAATAGTCCCGAGGACTTCGTCAGGCTCATAGAGGAGGACCAGGAGTTCAGCAAATCCCTGCTAGAGTTCAACGAAGCATTGGAACTCATCGTTAAGAAGCGCTCCAAACGAGTTTTTTCCATTGAGCGCACTGTCTTTGAGCAGGAGCCGGACTCTGAAAACCCCGACGACACAGCCACTAAATAATCACTCAGTTTATTCCAGTCGTTAGTTTGGTTTTAGTTTTTACTTTGTGCATTACTTTTTTCTTTTTCAAATGCCTATGTACCCGCCAAATTTCCGACTATCGCATAACAATACCGATACTTTTGTGTTTTTCCTAATTGTACCACCCTTTGCGGTTGTTACGTTATTAGATCTCCTAAAAACAATATATTCGTAATATGAAACGAGCCGTGAATTTTGAACAACGGCGTTGTTCAAATTCATCGACCTTTTAGCATCTTGACATGCACACTTTTAATAAATTCATGTACATAGATCCTCCATACTTTTTTGCTTAGAACTTCTTTTTATTAAGAAATCATATAAAAAAGAGCCCCTAAAATAAGCCCCTATTGTGGAAATTAATTGGAATATATTAAAACGAAAACCAAAGTCGATAAACTTCCGTACTTGGTATTTTTAGAGTATTTTATGGGAATAGAATGATACAACTGATACCCTGGAAAAAGGAAATCCTCAAAAAGTGTAATCTTTTAGATTCAGGCTCCAAAATCAATGCCAAAAGAAGTCCATATATGTATGTATATTAACTTGACAAACATATGAAAAGGTTAAAAGTTACCACCACCATGCACTCAAATAACGTAACATTCCATTCCCACTCACGTTAAAAAATAAACAATAAGGATATACTACCTGAGTACCGTGTGTAAAAGTACACTAAAAGTAATCTCCTGCATGGATTCATTTAGCTTTCATTGTTTTATTTACCTTTTATTCACTTTTCACACATTTTAAAAAAGTAAACAAAGCAAAACGGCTTTCTTACAGTGCGGGTTTCTCGTCTGGCCACACTCTGCTGCCAGCAAAACAAATTTCCCTGTTTGCTAGCAAACGTTTTTTCGTATCAGAGTACTAGGCTTAATTTGGAATCATTTCAAAATGAGAATGTCATAAAATCGAGCCAATCTTGTGTAGAATATATTGATAAAAACTTGTTGGTAATTTAAAAAAAAAACATCAAAATCGAGGAAAATTAGTTAAGATTCACTGTGAATTTACGGTATATTTTTAAAACGAGAAGGTATATTTTGGTATATTTTTGGGGGCTGTGCGGTATATTCTATCGATAACTCCTCGGTCATACTGATAAGAAAACCGCGGTCACACTTGCAACACAAAATTTAACTAATAAAACGACAAAAGTGCATTAAAAGAGGCCAAAAACAAAGTAAGTGTATCATTTATGTAAAATTGTTAACATATTACATTTTCCACTACAGAAAGCTGTTAGAAGAGACGCGTGTGTGTGTGCGAGGAAATTAAATTGCGTGCCAGAGTTTCTGCATTCTGGTGTGTGTGCGTGTAAGTGTTTTGTATGCAAAAAGACGAAAATAAGCCAGTTGTACGTGCATAATCCGTGTTTGTATGTGTGTGGCCACCGTAAATTCATTACGCTGTCTCATTTATACACGTTAACATTAACATGCTTAAATACAGTTGTGCCCTGCGCCGACATTTTTGTTTGTTTGAGTGCAGATACTTTTGAATGCAGATACTCTACAGGACTAGCTGTAGAACTTGCCTCGGTTCTGCATGAATAATACTACAGATACTACAATGCATTAAATTGTACTGCTGCAACTATATTGTATTTTTCGGAAATTTTTTTATTTGCTAATTGTAGCGAAAAAAGTAAACAAATTGTCTACACATCGTTGGCAATGCGCATGTCGTGTAGACTTTCTCTCATGCATACGCGCAAGTGTGTGTGCGTATCTGTGTTAGTAAAAGCCGAAAACAACAAAATTTCATTCATTGCTCACTTCTGAGAAAAAATTACACACGATGCGGACGCCGTCGCCATCTGCAATAGCTTCACTGTGTGAGTGTTTGGTTTGCATGCATGTGTAATATGTATGTATGAATGTACATATGTACATACATGGTGCAACATGTTTTTAGTTTCAAAAGACAGCTGCCGCCTTTGCCTGGCAGGGCGCGGTTGCCACATATCTTGATGTTTTTGAATCAGGTGCATAAGACTCCACACACATCTCGTAACTTGGACATTTCCCTATTAGGTTAGGTCCCGTCCCCCAGGTCTGTGTCCATCTTTAACTGCCAAACCACATTCCAGAGTTCAACATTCTGTTCTTGCCGTTGCCGTTTGATAGCCGTCATTGGCCGCGTTTTTTTCACACATTCCACGCGCTGCGCCGTCTTCAGAACACACATGTAAATACATAGACATCGCACACTTGCTTTAGTATACTATTGATTTCAATCAACTTTGTATACGCTCTTCGCTCTCAATCACCATCTTCATCTCTTTCTCTTTTGCTCTGGCTTCGTTTGTTGTCTCTCGTGTGCCCATTTATCAATTAAGTACCACGTCCGTTTGTCGGCTCATCACCAATTTATACATATGCATGTACATAGTACATGTCTGAACATACATACTCTTACAAATATACATACATATGTGTTGACGGGTACATGTTCATGTGCATGCGCGTCTGTGTTTGTAAATTCCATTTCCTGTTTATAATGCTGTGGCACACCCGCTGTCGCCTTTCCCTGGTTTCTGTCCGTCCGCCATCAACCCTCCTTGGAAGCCTCGCAATACGCATGGCGTCTTCTTCTTGCGTTGCCACTTCAACAAACAGACTTGTCTGTCTTGTCGGCAGCCGCTCAGACGCTGCACAGTGGGCTACAGAAGCAACAAATTGATACAAATCTTAAGTAAGGGCATATATCAGATTGCACTACTTAACAAAAGGTATCTTTTTATTTACGCTTCGAACCAAACTTAAATTTCTAATTGATTTGAGACTTCACTCCTTTTAAAAACATTTTAATAAAGTTATATATTGTAATCCATTTTCAACAAATTTGTTGAAAAGAACTATCAAAACATATTTTCCAAAAGTATAGCTCTTATCTGAATCACCATCTCCAACGAATTGCAGTTTCCTTGAAATTTCGTTCTCTTCACCCACTGTGCCATTGGGCCTCTGACCGCTGCTTAGGAACCAAGTGGAATCGGAACACCCAAATGCGACGCTCCGCTCTCATTCCCAGCCTGATCCGGCTGTCATTGTTGTTGTTGTTGTCGGTAGCAGCGGCGGTGTGCTGAGTAGTACAGTACGTGCCACTTCCTTTACATTCAGAAAAATAAAAATCGCTTGCACACAGACACACAAGCGTGCATAAAGAGACGGGTCAGACAGACCGCCAGTTTATGCTGTATTGCTAACAGAGAGCATGAGCAAGGGAACGGTGTGCTTGGCGTCTGCGCCGAGTGTGTTGCGTTGTTTTTTATGCTCGTCGTTTTTTTGTATTGTTCTTGTACAGTTGCAAAGACACTCTCTCAGCAGCATACACACAAAAACACACACGCGGGCCACACTCAAAACAGTGAAAACGAGTTTGATGTCTCGGTCGATATGGCAACACTGATTGTTCCCCTCCTTGAGACCAGCTCCCCATCTCACCCCTTCATTCACTTGCTTATTAGAAGAAAAATGCCTCTGCGCGTTTAATTCGGTGTTGTTGTTTTACGTAAGAAGGCCGTCGAACTCAGCATAGAAGAGGTAGTGTCAGAGAGGGAGTGACAGCGATGAACAGATAGAGAGAGAGAGAGCATGCATGCATGCAAATGAAACGAATATGAGAACGCAAGTTTATGTGTATGAGTCTGAAATAGTGAGAGAGCGAAAAAGAGAGGGAGAGTGTGCACGTGTGTGTGTCTAATGATTACCGTTACAATTTGCATGTTGTCTAGTCAGACGTCTCGCGACCCAGACTAGGCGACCCAGCAGCAGAAATTGGAAAATATTCTCAACCTGACCTTTTCTACTCCCAGCCTAGCCATTAGCTGACCCTACGTTTTTATGTGTATGTACATTCAAGAAGCCGGCAAATGTGCATACATACACATAATTATTTTATTGATTTTTAGTACATAAATATGTAAATATGTATTTACGTCGAATCTGCTACTAAGAACATGCACTTGCATACGTAAATATGTATATGTATGTATACGCGTTGTGTATGTTTGTTTGTACGGATTTTCTTGCGTTCTCTGGTTCAATGTACTAAACGCACACAACAAGTGCAACAATTGTAACATCAACACCATACAAAAGGGAGAAACAAGAAATAAATATAGTCTGCATTCCGACTGCAAAATACCCGTTACGTTTAACACTTCATAAGCTGGGGAAGATAAGGTTCATTATTCTGGATGCAATGATAATCATGTAACATATTTCAGATTTAAGGTATCACAGGACTTTTCGTAATGACTTAATGTACATATGTAGTTGGAAGTTGTACAAATACAATACATCCTGCAAGGTACAGGGTATTAAAATACGAAGAAGGAGAACTTGTAGGGAAATGCAAGTGCAAAAGCGTAGCATCAAAGAGGGATACAGAATGAGGGCAGGTCCTAGGGCAATCTATTAACATCGTCATTTCTTGTACAGTTGATCTTGGACGATGTGTGGTGTTTTGTATCTTTTATTGATGCACTAGAATCCCATGTTATCATGGGATCCTCATAGAACATGTTTTGCACTCTTCTTTTCCGCTTCACAGAGTAAAGATATTACCAGCGGATGGTTTGTCTGAATTTGTTGAATTTGCATACCCTTCTTTTCCAGGATAAAGAATGTATTAAGATTCGCTCAGATAAACAGATACCGCTTCCCAGCAAATTATGGAAACAGTTTGACAGCCAACAAAAAGACCCAGACAACATCCGTAAGCTGTAACCCAGAAAACATTGTGTCAGGTTGGCGTTTTCCTCTTCGACACTTCGTTGTTGTATTGTATGTGACGTCAATTGGCTTTGGAATGGTGTCGGCGGCCCACTTACGGGGAACCGGCCCGGCTGCAGCTCGAAGTGAACTCCCAGCCCCGTCTGTTCGACTACCGGAAACGTGTAGTTGTAGTGCAGTACATACATACAAATGTACATAGTATGAATTTATATGATTACAATTGCTACAATGTTGTGGGCGTTATTAAGCGAAAAGTCAAAATTAGGTATCTCCGGTTGGGCAGTCTGGCAACGCTTTGTCCCGCGGCCATCCTTTTTGGTTTGGCTTTTTGGCGCGCATCAAACGAACTGCATGGGAAGGGTGGGGGACAGGAGAGAAATTTCCTAAGGAATGTTGTTTACGTGCGCGCCTGCGCACGAACTGAATCAACCAGAATCCCTAGTTCCGTGAATTCGACAGCAAGCAAAGGATGGGGGGGAAAGTCTGAAGTCGTCTACGTTTCTTCATCCTGTTCGTCCCGTTTGGCCGGCTACCTGCCTGGCTGGCACCCGACTCTGCTGTCCCTTGGATGTGTCCCGTCCTACCTTCGCTTCTTACCACCGCCCTGCGTCACTTCTTGTTTGTGTGCCTTTTTGCTCCACCAAACTCGTTCGGCGGCGACAGTGGCGGCGTGTCAATAACATGTTGATCTTGTGGCAACACCAAAACAAAAACAAAACTGCGAAACAAGCTCGAAAGCCGCGCGCCGCATTGTTGTTATTTATGCCGCTTCAGCCTCATTTTTCGTCTCCCAGCGAGAGGGAGAGAGACAGTACAGAGAGAGAGAGAGAGAGAGAGCAGCCAGAAAACAAGAGGAGAGGTATATGGACGCCTCTCGTTGCAGCGGTCTGGCCACTCCGCAGCTCTTTTGTGCAGCTCTTCTTTGCGGCGACGGCGACTGAGTTGTCTCTCGGTTTTTTCGCGGTGCGGTTGTGTTTTTTGAGCTGCTGCGGCGGCAGCGTACGTTGTTTGACGTTTTGCCAGGCCGACTTCGAATTTGGTTGAAACAATTGGTCATGTGTCTGATAAAAGTAATGTTTCTTTGCTGTGATTGTGAAAATTGTCTAAAATTCTATACTTTTCTATATTCGAAAGTGGTCAACGCCCTCACGCGCTCTTTTCTTCCTTCCCTCATCCTCTCTTTGTGTGCCAGAGTAGCCTTTTATGGCTGTGTGAGTGAGTTTGTTTGAAATGTATGCTCACATTGAATAGTGCACCGGATTAGAATATATTTTAATATGCTTTTCTCATTTTGATGTGGATGTAGCCCGCGCCCCGTTTCTGGCTTGTGCAAATTCTTGGAATTCTTGACAACATTCCCGCGCGCACTCACACATACACACACAACAAATACACGCTCAGACGCAGTGAACAAAATTCATATACTCATCCCCCAATGAACGCTGTTGTCAGAGAGAGAGCGAGAGCGGGTGCGTCTGTGCCTGTGTGTGGTCATCAACACACATACAGGCACATGCACTTGAACTCTCGTGAACACACACCTCAATTTGTTGGCGTCTCTTCTGTTGCCTCTCGCTCTCTCTTCAGCATAAAACTGGCAAGACTTGTTTTTTGCGCAAAATACAAAAACCGGTACATTTTTGAAATTGCACAGTGAGAATAGTGAGAAGGAGAGAGAGATAAAAAGAGAGAGACTTGAAGAGAGCGTTGGTTGAGATTTGTTCTTGTTCTGGAATTTCGCTTAAACCATATTTTTCACACACTTTGCTTTTCTTACAGTTTTCTAAACACACACGCACACACACAAGCGCCAAAAGAAGAGCCAACGAACTCGTGCAGCGACGCCCAAGAATGGAGAAGAGCAAGGCAACATGAAAATTACGGCAACAACGAACACAGAAAAGAAGTAGAGAAGAAGAAAAGACGCCGTGTCGATGCCGCAGTCGCAGCATACAACAGTATTTTATTAGCGAGTGTTGTTGTCATGTATGTATGCACGCCGTTTTGTTGCCTTTTAGTATTTCATGTTGTTGTTGATATTATTATTATTATTGTGGTGCATGTATAGCTATTGTACTTTTTGGTTGCACGCATTTCTCATTTAACCGAAGGTATTTTCAGTTTTACGAGATTATTATAGCAATGAAAATGATCATCTAACTTGTTTTGGTTGTTTTGTGATAGAAACAGAATCAAAATGAAATGACGCGCCGCCGCTGATCTTGACCTACACGCTCACAAGTTCAGCGCAATTTATATGGTTATTCAACCTGCTTTCCGCGCATATTTCTGCCGACTTCCTCTCGCATACATACATACACACATTCGTAAAATTTTTATAACGCAAATTTTAATATGCTTGATGTCTGCGGGGTGAGAGGAGAGAGTCCATAAATTCTACGAATGTTAACTGTGAAAACAAACACACACACATGCATATGCATCTCGCATTTCTCGATTGTAATTAATGTATTTTTGCGACGCGGTTGCACGTTGATCCTCCCTTTCTCCTTATCACGAAAAATGACAAAGAATTGTGGCGACAAATTGCTACAGACTGGCGCCAAAAATTTGTTGACCGCTTATATTTTTTCTGATTCCTAGCACTCGTAGAGTTCAAGGGGTACATTTGAAGATGTATGAAATATGAACTAATTATACACTCTCCGCCACTTGAATAGGACTTACATTAGAAAATTGTTCTATGACCAATCATAAACCAAACACATGGGAGACTTAATTTCTTTTTTAAATTAAAGAATATTGTAAGATTTTAATTTTATCAGAAAACATTTTGGAAAGTTCTACAACAAACTAAATACCTCTTGAGAATTGTGTAACTTTTTATCTCACCGTTGTTGTTTTCAAAACATTTTTCTTGTCAATGTCTGTGATTCCTTCTATGGTTTACGTATTACTGTTGAAATGTCGAAAATTGTCTTAATTTACAATTTTGTACCTTCTGCCGCTTGCCATTCATGTCAATTCATATTTGTGTATTATCACCAACCTCATCATCATCATCATCATTATCATCACAATGATGTTGTTGTCGTCGCATTTATTGTTGTTTTTTTGTATATTTATTTTATATGCCGCGGCGGCAAAAAAGAAAAGTACAAGTCAAAGCCACAGTCGGTGTCCGTGAGAACATGAGAAAAGACAATCCTAATGTGAATCTCAGTCAAGCAACATCAGCAGGGGCGCTCTGGCTCTCCAAAGGCAACATCAAACATTATCGAGTCATAGAAGAAGTCTAGCAGTGTCTCGAAGCCAAAGGAGAATTGTGTCATTCTTCAAAGTGGTTGTGAAATGTTTGCCTTTTTATGCCTATTCATATCACAGCCAGCTTTGAGGAGCGACACGATGCTCAAGACAAAATAAATATGTAAGTCGTCGTCAATCAATAAGCGATGAAAATTCAAAGGAAACCAGTGCTTATTGTAACGTTTGCTGCAAGTGTTTATTTCGTTTATATCATTACAAATACATCAGCATTAATCTAAATTGAAAAAATTATAAAAACCCGCAGTCAATGATCCTGAATCCTATCTACAATCTATTGGCACATTCATGCTGGGCTCACAAAGTGGTTGTGAAATGCATTTTGCTTTGCCCGCATATCACAGCCAGCTTTGATGAGCTCGGCGTAATGTATCGTACATCAATCATAATACGTATGTATCCACACCAACCCCCCTCCACATGCAGCACATCCCGACACGCACTTGCATCTCTATATGGATTCGATTATAACGAGGGCTTCGTTCCGTTTCCTTTCCATTTTATATTTTGCAAACAATAAAATAATCATATTTTCTTCTCCACGAAAATCAAAACACTTGGCATGCGTTTGAACCAATTTTCAGAGTATCTACTTATTCCTTCGAAAAAAATAATTTGGCCCACGAAATGCGCAGAAATATGATGACCCAACAAAGTACGTGTTTCGGGGGAGCGGAGCTGATGTGAAATTGGTTCGAACGCCGCAAGCAAAAAACACAATCGAGTGCAAAATATTACAAACATCCCATGTTTTAATTTACATTTAAAAAACTACATTTGGAAATTTTTTACCATTGAAATGAACAAAAATGATGCCACATCTATTATGATGTTGCTTATCTAAGCCTCATCAAGTGGTTGTGATATGGATACCCAACGCATATCACAGCCAGCTTTGATGAGCTAGGATAATCAACGGGAAACAACGTAAATTGAATTGAAAACGAGTAAAAACAAAACACCAAAAAGTGAAATTGGTCGTGTTCTCATCGAGTGACAAAAATACCCTTCAAAAATACGGGAACTGTTCCAAATTAGACGATTCATAGCTGCTGAGAAGTTTTTGATTAGATTGTCGGTACCTACATATAGTACATACTTCTGATTTAATGCAGTTTTAATTTTCTTTTTGTTTTAGTCGAGTACCCAATGCTACAATATATTTTGATCAAAGCGTAACGGGCTATTTGTTTTACTAATGCCAATTTCGTCTTTCCCGCAGATACACATGCGCCCCAATAACTGACCGTTCATGTTCCACCTGCATCATATGTAAAGAACACACTAAAACACAATTCAAAAGAGAGCCCTCTGACGACGCCCTACAGCGGAGAATACAAATTTTAATTTATTTTGTGATAGTTTCTAGTTTACTTATAAGCTTTAAAGAAACCAAACAACGATTGCAAGCCAAAAAGAAAACCAATATTGAAATATCCAAAAATCCCGAAACGAAACGAATCAAACACAAGCTACAAATTGTAATAATGCATTCCACAAGCACAACGAACTGCAATATGGCAAGAAGTCGGTATCTGGCCTTGCTGTTGATCGGCTGCCTGGCATATCCGGCCTTCATTGAGGCCTGCTCCAGCCGCACAGTGCCCAAGCCACGTCCTTCCATATCGTCATCCATGTCGGGAACCGCATTGCCGCCCACTCAGCCCCCTGCAACCACAACGACTGTGCGCACCACAACAACGACGCCCAGGCCCAACATAACATTCCCCACATACAAGTGTCCAGAGACCTTTGATGCCTGGTACTGCCTGAACGATGCCCATTGCTTTGCCGTCAAGATCGGCGATCTTCCTGTATACAGCTGCGAGTGCGCCATCGGATTCATGGGTCAACGATGCGAGTACAAGGAAATCGACGGATCCTATCTGCCCAAGCGGCCTCGTCCCATGCTCGAGAAGGCGAGCATTGCCAGTGGTGCAATGTGTGCACTGGTCTTTATGCTATTCGTATGCCTCGCATTCTACCTCCGATTCGAACAGCGCGCTGCCAAGAAGGCCTACGAGCTGGAACAGGAGGAGGAGGAGTACGATCAATGTGATGATCAGAATAAATGCGAGTGCTGCCGCAATCAATGCTGTGCTGCCGGCGACGAGCCTCTTGTCCAGGAACGCAAGTTGCCCTATCACATGCGGCTGGAGCATGCCCTAATGTCGTTTGCCGTACGTCGCACCACGAAACTGTGAATGAATTGGACACCACGGACACGGGCACGGACACGAATATGCCTTGGGTAACAGGAAAACTGTTCCATTCAACGAATTTTAAATGTGCTTTAGTCTAAGGCCCTACTATTCCTATTTACTAAATGTTAATTGTAAACTGCTGTCCACATGCTGTCTGTCCACTCACAGTCCACAGTGACTAAGATCCTGTTTACTATAGAAGAGAATTCCACTTTCTCGTTCCAGACATACTACAGAGCATACTGGAGCAAGGCTTTGTATTATCAAATCGAATGTATTTTTATACCTTATGCTAGCTATTTATTTTATTCTGATATACGTACGTATTACAAACACGCAAAACACAACGAGGATCACGCGCCAAGTATTATTTATTTCGAGGAAGAAATTTATACACAATTATTTTGAACAAATTCTGAATAAACATAAGATGCTGCACGATGCAAATATAAACATTTAATCTGTTGTCTTTTTAGTACCTACTTTTAAGTACCATTTAGTCGTTAGTACTGCGATACTAGCTCTACAGCTTTGTTCTGTAGTTGCCTTTATTGTCAAACTTGGCTAAAATATTAGATTGGTATGTTGTACTACTATACCTTATAGTGCTGGAAATTCCGCCTTTTCAGCAAGATTATATAGATTCTGTTTCACAGTACTTGGCATTCATTTGTCATGATAATACTTAATTATGACGTTTTTGATTGAGTAATTCCCAACAGGGTTTTCCCAGCTGCCCATGAAGCACTGCCAAACTATTTGCACGTGTTTATGGGACCTATAAAAGGTTCCGGCGACTATCAACGATAAGATAAGACTCACAGGATAGATTGAATAAAATTGTTAGAAAGGTAAATTTCCGCTTGTCATTAAGCGAGAGCCAGTGGTAATTAAATTATGAAAGAAATAATATTTATGTATGTACATTCGATAAGTTCTTGCTGACCAATTTTGCATCTTAAAACTGGCGAGAAATATTTTCACATTTCTGATAGAGTGCCTTCAATGGGCCATAGCTTGTCAGAACTAACGACGTGAGAGTGAGGCACTTCATCAGAATTTGAAAGTCCGTCTCACTGCGACTCTTAAAGTAACCCGTCTGGTAGCCGTAATACTGGGTCGTCAATGCAATAACAAAGCAAGAGAAACCCAAAAAGTTGTGAAAGGTCTTGTTCAGCAATGGGGTAATCAGCCTTTTCACGCGAGCCGAGAAGAGTGCACTCACGCCAGAGGTCATGGCCAGTAGGCACAGTATAAACGCAGTGAAACCTGTAGGGGGAAGCAGGAAATTCCTTAGATCACTGGACATTTCTTTTAGCTGAGCGTTGAGTGAGAGAAAATGTATGTATGTAGATCTTCCCCTATTGTCGCTCACTGTTTGTGTTTACTCACCCAGCTTTCCGTGCGTCGAGTGCAGAGAGAAACCTTTTTGTATCATTTTGATTAGAGCTCCAGATGCTCCACAGCATCCGCCCAGTGTGAGGAGTATCCAATGGATTGTGGTTTTCGTATGCCGTTTGTAACTGTGTGTGAGAACATTGCCGCCGTAGTGAATCATGACACCCTCGGCCATGAAGAAGGAGAACTGTCAAAGGAAAAAATTATCTGACCTGGCGATTGATAATAGAATAGTCTAGCAGTTACCCCGATTGTGACCAGCCAAGCATGCAGGCTAGTTCCTTGTAGTCCGGTTCGCAGGGTCAAGTATGACATATAGATGGTCACGAATCCAATGCAGATTTGATTGAGAACGTTCAGAAAGTACTCCAGTCGCTGCCAACGAGTCTGTGAATCGTGCGGGGATAGTGTGTTGTGGGACATTTTAGAATATCTTCGCGGAGATTCGATTGTCACAAATGAGGGTAGTCGCGCTGATGCTGCTAGTCTCGTCTGGATCGTGCTGCCGTAGTCGACAACTCTCTGGGATCTACTAACAAACGGCTGCTCGACCTCGGCCATGGTACGCTGATTTTGTAGTTTCTGTTTTGAATTTGTTCTAAGCTCTTATCAGTGAGTTGACATAATGTTATTTTCGTGTTAAATATAGTAAACTTTGACAAGAACATTTGCTCATACTGTTCCCAGCTGATAATTGTTGTATCTGCCTCTCATCAGACAAATTGTTGTAAACTATTTATGGTTACCGCAGCAGTAAAAGATCGTAAATTCCAAAACCCGATAGTACTTTATATTACGTCCAACAGGCGCCCGTAACGCCCATTGAACTATGTCCGTCCGTTCGTAATTGATTTAAATAATCTCGTATCAATGTTTGAGTGCGACTGTCGAAGCTTTTTTATTAGCAGCCTCACATTAACGCTAACGCACGACGCTGCCACTCTTGGCTACAAATAAATAACCTTTTTATTTTCATTCGTATCGGTTTCCTCTAGCGCTGATCTGAAGCTATTCAAGTGCTACGCTGCGCTGCAAATATGTACAAATCAGATAACACACTAAACCGCAAATAGACCTTCCAATCGTGCTCGTTGCATTTATTTGTTAAAGCCGATAGATCCGACAACTCGTCAATTGGCATTTACCAGCACTGAGTGTAACGGCCGAAAAGCTGCAACGAAATAATGATGGATATATGAGATGCATCGTAAATAAACGTTTCGGGCAGCGAATTTACAGTTTTACAGTTTAACTTTCGAAATTCGAAACTAATCAATCAAACTGCTGATCTCGTAAAGATTCTTTGCAGGATAGCTGCATAAGGTAATATTTAGATTATTCTTTAAAAAATATATGTTTGTTAGACTGTAGTCTATAGACTCTGCATAATTTTGAAGTGTAAAAATCAACCTTAATTATATTTAATACAAATTGAAAAAACAGTTTTCAACCCTCTCCATGACTCCTCTCCTCTCCTCTTTTACGTGTGCAATAAACAAAACATCACCATTAGTTGGGGTTGCAGACTCTTTAATCATCGTTTTATTTTATTTTAAATCTAAAGTATGTAAATATTACAGCTTAAAGTAAAATTATGTACAAGGAAAATTCACTATGCCCACGCAGAACTTGGAAAACGCATCGAGATCAACTTTTAAAACTTAGCACTTTTTTGTACAACGATTTGATGGCTCCTATGCTGGTTAAGACCATGGATACAAGCGTGGCCACTTGCATGAGGATAACAAAGTCCGCGCCCTGTCTTTTGAAGAGGCTAGTCTGTGCAAAGCCGTAGTATTGTGCCATCATGGCAATCACATAGGCAACAAAGCCCAGCGTCACATGGAATGTCTTGTTGACCAGCGGCGACAACGCCCTGCTCATGGCACGGGCCAGAACGGCAGCCAGTCCGCTCAGCAGTGAGATCAGGCAGAGGATGAAGGCGGCAAAGCCCAGACTGGCATGTGTGGTAACTCCAATTGACCATTTGTCGCGAATCAGTTGGATGAGGCAGCCGGCTACACCCATGCCGCCACCGATCACTTGCAGCACGACATGGATGGCCGTTTTGTATTTGCGAGTGTATCGCAGAGTCAGCCAGCTTCCCTCGTAGAAGCACATCATTCCCTCGGCCATTAGGAAGATAAATCCAAAGGTAACCAGCCACACATGTATGCGTATGCCTGTCAGGCCCTGACGCAAACACATCCAACTGATCCAAATGGTCACGAAGCCAATGCACAATTGATTAAGGACATACAGGGCCGCTTCAACATGCTGGATCACTGAGGTATTTCGATTTGATTTCTCCTCACTCATGTTTGGAACTGATATTTCAACTTATTATTATATCTCTTCGAGTTGTCAAATTACTTAGTTTTAGCTTCGAAAGGATCGACTTTTGATATCACTTTCAATCGACTGAATTGTCCTGAAAAAGGATACTTTTTTTATATTTCTGCAGCTCGCTTGTAGCGTTTTGCATAAGGGTTTCCATTCAACTATATTAATGAAATGAGCAGACTGTTTTTATTGCCCACAAAAAAGACGAGTGGATTTTTTGAGTGCACTCAACTGGCAGACTATTTGTTTGCTATCGTTTCCTTCTAATGCCGTCGACTCAAAGGATTATACTATATAATTGATACGCAACCTGCACGCACACGTTCTCATCGCCAGTGTTCAAATGTACATTCATTGTAGTATTCCAAGTACCATCCATTCGCTCTTTCATGATGTAAGTATGAGAGATTAAAGTGTGAGTAGTGTGAACTTTTCAATGCGGCAGGAAAGTCTTATGCGCTGGGACTCACGTTTGCCATTCCCGTTCTTAGGCATAAGCCCCGGCAGCTAATTATAGACAGGTTATTAACAATAATTGGAGGCACATTTAAGTTGAGTGCTAGGTTGCTCAACTTAATGAAACATATGTATTTCGATTAGACCGCAAGTCATTCACTCCTCTACACCTTATCAAAATGCAAAATCGCACGTACCGAGATAAAGTTTGCCCGACATTCACACAGACACACACATGTCGGTGGTGTTTGAAAGTTGTTTCAGGTTGTTCCAGGCAAAGCGCCTGGACAGACAATCGGTTGGATTTTGATATTGCTGAGCATTAGTTGTCGACTCTAATCAAAGATAGTTGCAACTTTGCTGAGGAATCTGTCCTTGGACAAATTGTTTTCTTGTTTACAGAGACTCAGAGCCGTGGAGGAGATATTGGGTATCTTTCATTTCAGGTCTCTGGCAAAGCGCCTGGACAGACAATCGGTTGGATTTTGATATTGCTGAGCATTAGTTGTCGACTCTAATCAAAGATACTTGCAACTTTGTTGAGGAATCTGTCCTTGGACAAATTGTTTTCTTGTTTACAGAGACTCAGAGCCGTGGAGGAGATATTGGGTATCTTTCATAGTTTTGAGGTCCCACCAAACGCATCAACGATCACAGGATCACAGGTACTGAGTACATCAAACGCATTTCAATTATATTACAGTGAAAGTGAGAAAATGGTACATAATGCAAGATATTATTATCACAAGTGTAAGTACATTTAGTTGAGTTTAAAATTGTATCAACTGCCATCGGTTAGCACTTACAGCTTACCTTTAAATAGCTTGAACTTGTTTAATTCTATACTTTACTTGTTATACGTATTTACGATTAGAGAACAAACAACATTTATTTACACATAGAACAAAGCGATGCGATTCTAATCCTAATGGGATGTCACGACATACATATATGGTACAAAAGGACCAACGGATCGAAAGCGTCATCTCGTGCTCCCTACTTACGTTGGGTTGATCGAGAATCGGTTCGTTAGTTGACATCCTTGACGCAACAGAAACAGGTAAAGCTGTACGTTCATTTTTAAAACAAACCTACACAAATATTAGGGAAACGTTTAACAAGTCACTGAAATACTATCACAGCCACATCCGACAGAGTTCCTCCTAGAAACACAAAGGGGCTGCCGCAAAACATAACAAAAGTAAAGTAACCTTAGCAATAGAGAGTAACAATTAGACTAGGGAATTACTGGGAATTTGCAGAACTACTCCTGTCAGTACGGCTCATCGTTTGGGTGAAACTTATCTGTTAGCATAGGCAAACATCTAGACCAATAACAATCTCAAGGGGGCGTCGTCTTGTCGCTCCCCACTGGCTTGGACAGAAAGTACATAATTTTTAGAATCTCATTAAACTTTGGTGTATCTCTAGGATGACGCTTCTCGAGACCAGCAATCTGCTCGAGAGCGACCTCCACATCCACAACATTGCACAGAATCGATTGCAGTCTCTTGGGAAATTTACCGGGCGAGTCCTCAACCCGTCTACGTGTAGTTTCCAACATATCAAGCTGATCTTGGGGCGTCACCTTGTGGTAGCTAACCGTCAGTGTGGTTAGCTGCGGCAGATGGTCGGCCAAGAGAAAGCCATAGTCCTGAGCATCGGATATTCCCAGACGCTGGAGACGCTTGGCGCCCGCACTCTGAAGGATGGTCTCCTCCACTTGGTACCTGTTGGCGGTGAGATCCAGATGGGTCAGCGACAGCTGATCCAGTATCTCTCTTAGGTGCTCCGTCTCAATGGAGCATTCACGGGCTACCAGCGACTCGAGCTTGGTCAGACCGATCATGTGCTTGCCCGTCACATAGGCGCTGGACACGCTCAGACAGCGTAACTGGCGACAGTTCTTAGCTACTGTGTTGACCATGCTGTTGTTCATGTTTTCATCTGCAATGCAAAGCTCTTTCAGATTACTAAAGTCTCGACGCAGATAGAAGCTCAGTTCGGGGCGCAGCAGGTGGCGTCCCAGGTACGAATCGAATGCCTTTGAATGAACATTCCATATGTACAGCTCCTCCATGGCGGCGCTGGTCAGCTCAAAGAAGTAGACGTAGTCCGTTTTGCTCAAAGGCTTCAGCATGGCATCGGATACGGAGACGTTCCGATACCGCGGCTTCCTCCACACAATCAGGCAGAGCACCTCCCGGAAGCGTGGCGACAGTCGGCACATCTTTATTTGATCCACCAGCGGCAGGTACTCCAGTATATGGCACACACAATCATCGTTTAGCCTCTCCATGGCGAAATATAATTTCAATATTTACTAAAATGAACAGTCCGATTTGTTGTGAAATTTTTTTTTTGGTATTTAATCGCTGCAGCGACATTGGATGGTCGCCCGACGATGAATCCGCATTACAGAGGTACTGTGTGTTGTGAATTTAGCCATTTTCCAACTAGATCTTGCGTTTTTAATTGTCAAATGCGGGATTAACTGTAAAAAAGAGGGTAGCGGAAATTATAGCCATTTTACAAGATCTTTTTGCTTTATTTTATCTTTTTCAAAAAATCTGCCATCAATTTTGTTGTATGCTTTACTTAAGTACCTTGTAGTATTATTTCCATATTGTTTGGATTTTTGTACTATCACTGACGAAATATTTCACAATATTTTTAATCGTTCGCGAGTGTCAAGGCAGGTGTTCAGCACCGTGGAAAATTATAGCCAGGAATTTGTTAAAAAATAAAAATGTCTAGAAATTGTAACTTTTTAGTAATTAGAGTCACCCCAGAAACAAAATGGTTCTAATTTGCGAGATTCTGCTTTTAAAAAGCGTTTTTTTTAGCCTCCATCAAAATTGTCCGACTATTTCTAGCTTTTTTCAAAAGCTGGTTTAGCTTTTTTATGACCCTAATAGTTAGCAGCACTCAGTTCGATGATGGGGCTGTCGATATTTTTATATTCGGTGTTTCTGTCGATATTTGTTGATGAGTCTTGCTATCGATGACTGCTGATGAGGGCGGGCAATGTTCTTATAATTTAAACAACATGATGCAATATGTTTAAAGTGTGAACGCGTGTATAAAATGTATAGTAGTGAAATGAATTCATGTGTATGTGTAGGTGTAGGTGTAAGTGTAAGGCAACAGAAGGTTGCCTCAGAAAGAAGGAACCACAGAAGGTTGCTCTTCAAGGTAACTTCCTCGTTATATTTTCCTGTTATATTTTTTCCTGATATAGCATGTCCGTTGGCAGGAGAAGATTTCATGTTCCGCATTGTGGCTTTGATTTTATGTAAAAAAACGTTATCATAGGTTCGATTAAATAACAGTTTATTTATGACCTTTGTGTTTTTTGCACTCCAGTAGAGAGCCCAGTTCCATGGTCTGACAGGAATTAAATTGACGCAAGATAAATTCCTTTGGTTTTTGATATTTCTTTGTACTCATTGTACCAATCCGTCTGAACTTTTATGTTGGTTTTTCTGATTACTTCATCGAATGTTAGGGGTAAATCAAATAGTTTGCCTACATTAGTGGCTGATATGGCTAGTATATCAGTCTTTTCATTAATGGCAATGTTCTTGTGACCGGGTATCCAGTGCACAATAAAGTTGCTTGTGAAGGAATTGCCATGTTGAGGTGAATTTCGTATGTTAAGTATTCATTTGATTCATTGCTTCTCAGAACAATTATGGCGCCTTGACTATCACAAAGAATTACAATTTGACTGTATCTTTTTATATTAGATATCTTTAGAGCCGTCAATACTGCGTTAATAATACAGATGAGGATCTATTTTCATTTTCAACTATAGCTATAGATTGCTAGGGTAATCTAAGATACCTATGCCTGTCTTATCACCATTGATGGATGCATCAGTGCAAAGAATGTTCCATCCACTTGACACCCATTCTTCAAGCTTAGCTTGATTTATCGCATTGCATTCTTCGTTTGAGATGACAGTTTTTTTTCCTGCCAAAAAACTGACAGACAAATTAAGGCTTTGAGACTATGTTTGTACTTCTTGGCTTCATTATAATTGTCGAAAAGATCACTATATTCTTGGTACACAGCTGTGTAAGCAGTCTCTGCTTTGGATCGAGTAACTTCATTATGCAAAGTCGGGCTCAGAGACTTTACTTTCAGTAGTTCTCTGACTGTGTTTGGGCATACCTACGCAACGGCGAAGGCAGTCCGTCTGTGTGGTGTTAAGAGACTTGCTGTTGCTAATGTTTAGATTCGAAAAACTAGTAATGGCATGTTCCTGCTGAGATCTGATGAAGGATTTGAAGATGTTGGACGAAACCTTGGGTTTGAGTCCCGTTTTGATGGTAGTTACAGCATGCAACAAAAGCTCACTTTTGTCTGATTTGTCCCTGATTTTTGCAATGTGCAATTTGTCTGACATGTTGGCAAGGTAATTGACTCCTTTATTGGGAAAGTGAATCATGTGTATGTATGAATCATTAATTTGATGCAGTCTTTTGGTGTACAGATTGAAAAGAAGAGGTGCGAGATAGGAGCCTTGAGGCAACCCACCATTGATTTCTTTACTGAAGTTACCCAGTTTTAGGAATCTAGACGAAAAGAAATTGACAATCCAGTCAGTAAATTTAGTGGAAATGTGTTCATAATCCATTAGCATTTGTAGAGTTTGAAGATTAACGCAGTTATATGCATTATCAATGTCTACTACTACAATTTCAACGAATTTTCCCTGTTTCTTCTCACAGGCCATGGTATTGATGATATCATTTATGCACATGGCTGCTGATTTACCCTTTTGGACGTTTTTTCAAGAACATATCGAGGCGGCTCTTGAACATAAGATTGAGAGTTTTAGCCAATACCGAGATGAGGGAGATAGGTCGATAGTTTTGATAGACATGGAGATCCTTACCCCTCTTTGGGATGGGAATGACTTTGATTGTACGCCATTGATCAGGGACTCTACATTCTGAAAATAACCTGCTGTATTCTTGTAAAAGATTATTCAGTGCTGGGCTCCCGAGTAATTCTATCTATTCCTCCCGCAGTGCCCCTATTGAGAACAGCAGAACAGCAGGTCACTTAAGTTAAAGGGATCGATGTTGAGTGAAGTTGGCCTGACAGAGGAGATATGAACTTTAGCCAACACAGAGACTTGGCTTTTAAGAAACTCAAGGTAAGGCAAGGACCATTCTGCATTAAAGCTTACAATTTACGGGATCATTAAAGGTCTTAATGTTCCTCAAGAAAAGCCAGGCTATCCTTGTCAGACTTCGAACTCTTTGTGCCTGGATCTGTGCTTAGATATATTTAGAGTACTAAAGAGTACAACTAGTGTTGTGATTCTGGATTTCACCAGGTCTTAGGGCATCTATTGTTGCTCAAGGAGTATGTGGAGGCCCTAATGTTGTTTGTGAAGCTTTCTGTGATGTTTGAAATGTTAGGCTTCGAAGCAGTCTATTCTTAGCAAGAAAGAACTTGGGCTTCTCTTTGCACTCCTGAATTTTGATGGAAATTTGATGTTTTGGCGATGATAACATCGTGCTCTGAACTAAAGGCTTCCTTTTTAAGCTTAATGCCTTTTTTAACAGCAATGGCTACACCTCCGTAGCCATCATCTCTATGAGAGAGAAAACTTCTGAGAAGATGGCTGTCCACCAGAGCTCAGGGTGTATTCTATGTAATTTTTGTCTATTTTTAGTGATTGTACATTAAGTTCTATGTTTCGAACTGCTCTGTAGGAATTAACGTTTTATGTTTGGAATTATGTTAATTCAAGACTAATTCAAGAATTTCTAGAACTATGTTGCTACTGACACTGCTAATAGTGTTACCAACCATCACCTTATTTCAGCAAATTTGTAAATTGCATCTTTCCTTCCTTCTCCTGTATCGTATTTAATTTCTATTTATTCCTATTCCTTAATTTTTAATTGAAAATACATAAATAAATATATACTATAAACCATACATTGTCTATAGCCCAATATTAATATATTTTATTTTATATTTAGTTGTTCCCCAAAAGAAAAGAGCATTTTAAAACTCCCTTAACAAAGCAAAAGAGCTTTCATGGTGCGAAATTTGTACCAAAAACTAAGGTGTCGACAACAGGTAAATACATCACCAAAATTCCAGTGGCGCCAGGTAAATTTTAATCCTACGGGAAGTTCTCGCAGGGAAATAAATTCTCTCCTGTGTCTAAATGGTCAGGGAAATCCTCTCCTGTGTCTAAAAGGTCAGGGAAATAGTATTCTGGGATTAGGTCAGCGGAGAGAGCAAGATATTCTCCTCTCTCCTCATTTTTAATATAATTTGAATTTTATTCACACTTAAATACATGTTAATTAATTTTATATTATTATATTATTTTATATCACCAGCTTGCAAAGACTTTTAACACTGAAGCATTAATTTAATCCGATTGAAGAATCAATTTGGCTTATTATAAGAAATCCCTTATATTTTACAAATTTGTATTTGAATCTTTCATTCAAATCACCCCCTCTTAAAGCATGGGAGCTTTGTCTTCAGTATTTAAATCTAATTTACATTATTAACAGAGACACATGTGCATACATATGTCAACTGATATCATTGACAATTAGGGAAAGCGCGCGGAACAAAAGAGGAAAATAAATTCTATTGTTTTCCTGAAAATTGTACAAAGCGTTATGCGATAAGGGAACATAGGTAAATATAAGCTCGGAGTGATTTGGGGGCAGTTCTTCATTCAAGGGTGCTAAATGTTGCTTATTCCGAGCCACATGTAGGGGAACAATGCTGCTCACTTTTTGCAGCATGCTGCTTTACTCTTACCCATAAAAATTATGAAACGGTCTCCATAAAGACAAGTCAAGTCTCCCGAACCCAGAAAGGCTTTGCATGTCAAGATCGGACAAGAAGTGACCGAGTAAAAGTGATTTAAACGATGCAACTAATTACACTCAGTCCGCACATTTGAATTTGACAAGAGGTCGCCACTATAAACTAGATCAGTTTCTTAACTGACAGCTTTTGAAAGAAAAAAGGAAAAATACCAACAAATACCCATACCAAAATTTCAAAAATTCAAAAAGGACATCAACGATCAAGGTTGTATGTGATACCTCGTGAGCGGGACCTCGTGAGCGGGAGTCTCCTGAATAGTTTGAATACACCAAAGGACCACTGAGACGCAAGGATACGTCTTCGTGTTATTTTGTAGTTAAAAGGCACTAATTGACCCGTCCTAAAGTGTGCCACACCTTTTTAATGAAGAAATCTCCAAAAGTATTCCTATTTATTGTCGTTTTTTTTTTTTTTTTTTTTTTTTTTTTTTTTTTTTTTTTTTTTTTTTTCGAAGAGTATCCTCGATGACTT